CATCATCCAAGTACCAAAAGAATGTACATTCTTTCTGCTCCTCTTGGGTAAAGCACTTTATAAATGTCAATTAGTTCAAGCTCATAATCAGTATTAATTCAAGACTTGTTCAAGTTTTCTCTACCTTAATGATTTTCTATATACTCATTCTATCAACTTTTGAAAGAGAAGTGTAGCCACCTATAACTGTGGCTTTATTTATTTCTGCAGGCAGTTTTATCAGTTTTTATTTCACGTATTTTGATACTCTTGTCATAGGCACATAAACATTTAGGATTTTAGGTCTTCTTGGTGAATTGACCAATGTATTATTATGAAATGGTCCTCTGCTTAATACTCTTTGCTATGAGATCATTTTGGCTAATATTAATATAACCACTCTAGTTTCTTGTGATTAGTGTTAACATGGTTTATTTTTCTCCATACTTTTTCTTTCTCCACACTTTTAACCTATTTGTGGGTTTAAATTTCTTTTTATTTAATTTATTTATTTATGATAGTCACACAGAAAGAGAGAGAGAGAGAGAGGCAGAGACACAAGCAGAGGGAGAAGCAGGCTCCATGCACCGGGAGCCCGATATGGGATTCGATCCCGGGTCTCCAGGATCACGCCCTGAGCCAAAGGCAGGTGCCAAACCGCTGCGCCACCCAGGGATCCCATATTTGTGGGTTTATATTTAATGTGTCTTATAGGCAACAGATCATTCGATCTTGAGTTTTATCCCATCTGATAATCTCTTCCCTGTAATAGTAATATTTAGACCATTCATATTTAATGTGATTATTGATAGGGCTGAATTTAAATCTACCATTTAAATTGTTTTCCTTTTGTTCCATCTGTTCTTTGTTCCCCTTTTCTTTTTTTCCTGCCTTCTTTTGGACTGCAAACTATTTTTTTTTAAAGATTTGATTAATTGATTGATTGATTGATTGATTGATTGATTAAGAAAGACAGAATACACATGCCAAAGAGGGGCAGAAGCAGAGGAGGAAAGACAATCTCAAGCAGATTCCACACTGAGCATGGAGCCCAACACCAGGCTCAATCTGGATATCATGACCTGAGCCGAAATTCAGAGTCAGATGCTTAACTGACTCAATCATCCACGGCCCCCAAGACTGAGTATTTTTTATTATTTCATTTTTCTCTTTTGTTAGTTATTAGCTATTACTGTTTTTGTTTTTTTTTAGTGGTTGCTATAGAGTTTATACTCTGTATTTTTCACTCATCACAGTCTATTGTCAAGTACTATTATTCTATTTCATGCATGGTATACAAACATCAAAACAGTGCACTTGTATTTCTCCTCTCTTAGCCTTTTGTGCTATTGTGTTTTCATACATTTTACTCTTATATATGTTATAAACTCCACAATAAACTGTCATCCTTTTGCCTTAAATAGCCAATTATCTTTTTATTTTTATTTTTGCCAATTATCTTTTTAAAAAAACGTAAATAAAGAGAAAGTTTTAATTACCCATGTATTTACATTTACATTTTTACTCATTTATGTAGATCTACATCTCTATCTAGCATCATTTTACTAGTCCCCAAAGAATATCCCATAACATTTCTTAAAATGTAAGTCTGCCAGTGATACACTCTTTCAGCTTTTGTTTGTATGAAAAAGTTTTTGAAAGTTATTTTAAGCTGCTGGAGAACTGACAGTTTTTTCCTTCAGTACTTTAAAGATTTATTTCACTGTTTTCTGGACAATTAGAATTTTGTTGTCATCCTCACCTTTGTTCCACTACATTATAACGTCTTCTTTTTCTCTGGATAATTTCAAAATCTTTATCACTTATTTTGAGCAGTTTGATTATATTTTTTGATATAATTTTCTTCATGTTTGTTATGCATACGGGGTCATCAAGATTTGTCAATCTGCAGATTTACCGTTTCTGTCAAATTTGGAAATTTTTTGGCCATTATTTCTTTTATTACTTTTTCTAACTCTCCCTCCCTTCTTCTGGGAATTCATATTACATGTATATTAGTCCACTTGAAGTTGTCCCCAGCTCACTAAGCTCTATTCATTTTGTCAGTCTACTTACTCTGTTTCATGTTGGATAGTTTTCATTACTATATATTCAAATTTACTAATCTTTTCTTCTTCAAAATCTAATCTGTCACGAATCCCATAGTATATATCTTATCTCAGACATTACAGTTTTCATCTCTAAATTGATTTGTATTCTTTAATGTCTTCAGTGCCTCTAATTACTGCATTCAATTTTTCCTCTAGCTCCTTGAACATATGGAACTTCACTAATATTACTATTTTAAAATCCTTAAAAATCTACTAGTTTTAAAATCCTTAAAAATCCTTTAAAATCTACTAGTTTTGTGTGATTTTCCTGCCTCTTCACTTATCTGGTGAGTTTTGATTGGATTTCAGACATTATTAATTTTGCCTTGTTGGATGCTATATATTTTTGTTTTTTTATAAATATTCTTGAGCTTTGTTTGGGTTCATATATTGCATTTATCTTTGTTGGATAGAATTAAGGAAGCTTTAATCTGGAGCTCATTTTGCCCCACTGCTGAAGTAATCTAACTTCTGAGTAATCTAACTGGTGCTCCATGAATTAGCTTTCCACTATGGAAGGAAAGTAACTATAATAATCAGCTTGGACTGTCATAATGAAATACCACAGAGTGGGGGGCTTAAACAACAGAAATTTATTTTCTTGGAGTTCTATAGGCCAGAAAGCCCAAGATCAAGGTTCTGGCAGGGTTTTGTTTATGGTGAGAGCTTTCTTTCTGCCTTAGACAGCCACCACTTTCCTGCTGTATCCTCTCATGGCAGAGAGAGAGCTCTAGTGTCTCTTCTACTTATAAAGGCACCAGTTCTATCAGATTAGAGTTCCAAACTTATGATCATTTAATCTTAGTGACCTCCTTAAAGACCCTAGCTCCAATATAGCCACACGGGGGCTTAGGCTTCAACATTTGGTTTTTGAGGTACACTATTCATTCTATGGTAGGAATTTATTTCACACCTGAATGAGCTCTGAGGGCTGTTCCCTCTCATCTTTTTCGGTGGTTCTTTCCTCACTCTTGGGTAGTCTCCTCATACTATTAGACTGATTAGTACTCAGATGAAGATTCTCTGCAGATCTCTAGAATTCTCTCTGCTTTCTTGTACTGTCTAGTGTGAAAGTTAGCTATCTTTTCCTCCCCAGCCTCAAGTTCTGTCTCTCTCAACTCGGAGAGAACAGTGCTCTCTGCCTGAAGTCTCCCTCCCTATACTGCAGCTAGAAACTCTCTCAAGATAGTAAATTGGGACATATGTAGAGCTCAGCTCACTTCTCAGCAATCCTTCCTTTTGCTACCTAATGTCCAGGTTGTGAAAACCTACATATATGTGTGTGTGTGTGTGTGTATTTTTCCCCCCAATGTTTTAGTTGTTTCTGGAAGGAAAGTCATCCAATCTTGTTCCTCCATCCTCTCCAGAAGAAGTCTGTACTGGACACTTTAAATTCTGTTTCTGCCATGTTTCTCTACTACAACCACTAATTAACCTTCAGACTTCTACTCAGATGTCATTTTATCTACAAAATCCTTCCAAACACCTCACAGCTCAGGTAGGTGCTCCCTGGCTGTACCTTCCCCCTGTCAAGGCATCCACCACATCGTTTTAAAAATACTCCTTCAATTTTCCACATACCCTAGCCATAATGCAGAAGTTGGGAGTGTGTACTGTGCATTGCAGTACCGACACTTAGCAAACACCAAACACACCAGGTGCTCCATATATCTACTCAGATGAATAAATAAATGAAAGAAGCTTAAGGTTCTTTCATAAGAAAGAACCCTGCTGTCTTGAGAGAACAGCTAAAGCTACATCCCCTTTATCAAAGAGTTTGTTCAGTATCAACCATTTCCTTTAAGAATATAAACTACCAGTTACAAACATGAAGTATTTAATATTTATAGCTAGAAGATTAAAAACAACAATAATGAGATGCAATGGTATTTTCCCCACACTGTAGCAGTTATTGAAGCAAACTATTTCTAACAGCATACTTTGAAAATTCAAACCAATTTCAGTGATAAAGATTCCTTTAACATATGTTCATTATCACCCAATTTCACCCTAACATGGGTAATGGGATCAGAGAACCCCATATAAACACTCCTTGAGAAATTCGGTCTAATGAGCTTCCTTCCAAGTCAAATGCTTTAATCCAATCATTTAATCTGGAATTAGCAAAGAATTTATTTATATTTTTTAAGATTTTATTTATTTACTTAATTAAGAGAGAGAGAGAGAGAGAGAGAGAGAACACAAGCATGGGGGAGTGGCAGAGGGAGAGGGAGAAGCAGACTAAGCAGGGAGCCTGATGCAGCAGGGCTCAATCCCAGGACTCCAGGTTCATGATCCAAGCCGAAGGCAGATGCCTAACTGACTGAGCCACCCAGGTGCCCCTAGCAAAAAAGTATTTAATGTGACATCTTTCAATTTTACTTCTCTCCACGTGTTTTGAGAAGGCACATTTGGAAGGAATGATGGAATATGAAAAAAATAAAGGAAGATGAAATCCTGAAATGTTAAATCCCAAGATGAAAACAGGATATTTGAATTGGTTGCCCTTGCTTGCCTATAGGCTAGCTGCCTATAATCCTGGAGCCTCATGGACTGCTCCAGTCCCAGTGGCCTTCTAAAAAGAATCTTCATGATTTGGTACATTCTAAACTGCACCTTTTATAAATACATCAATGAGAATATGCTTTGACAGTTACCCCACCTCCATTTCATGACACTGAAGGGAACCCAGGAAGGGACTCCCATAAAATATTAGAGTTGTATAAAAGGATGCTTCCAACATTAAGAATAAACTTAGGGAAAAAATAATAAAAACTGAGGCCACTGAGCCAAGTTTCAATTCTTATCAAATGAAATCAGTATTATTGTAGTGATTCTGCAATTGAAGGAGTCAGGCAACAAGATTCCAACATCTGGCCCATGAGAGCTTTCTAGAAGGCCAGTACTTACGCTACATGGGTTGTTGGCCGTCTGAGCAGAGCTGTAGAAGGACCCCCACTGGGTGGCTCGCCTCTCATCCCGGGAAGGGGTGCTGTTCACGGGCAGGACAGCTGGGACCCCAGGGCCTGTGACCGTAGCATTGGCAGGCTGGCTGCTAGGAGCCACAAGAGCAAAAGCATCGTCCAGGAGGGAGTGCATGGTCTGGCGTGCCTCCTCGATCGACGGCTGGGGCGGGATGTACTGGGAGGCTGGGAAGGGTAGGCCTGGATACCTCCCCAGCTCAGCTGAGGATGGTGTCTGCACATCAGCCGGCAGGTCGGGATCGGACTACAGCAAGGCAAAGGGAAGGCAAACAAGGATCAGACATGAGCTTCTGTGGCGACTTGAAAACATTCTGTGGCCAAAATGGAATTTAACAATTTTCACTGACACTGTCGGAAAAGTTTACCATAAGAATTTTTTAAATGACAGCTAAGGGGTCATGGTGGCAGGTGGAGATTGAACCAGGATGAAAGAAAAAAAGTGAAAATATTCAACAATCATTTGTCCAGCAAAACTCAACCAATTATCTGAAATGCATTTCAATACCTGCAAGTATATATTTTTATTAAATTCCCCTAAGCAGCCAAAATATGTTTGAGTCTTATACACTAAAATATCAAGTCAATTTTCCATAGATACCAAAAACTAAAGCAGTCTATTGACTATAGTAAGAAAAAGTCACCCTACACACCACTAGAAAAGTTCAAAGTCAACACCATATTGCACCTGTGTGTGCATAAACAACTTTAATACTTATTGTAACAACAACTTACAGTAGTGAATAGAGAATGTATATTCAGAAACCACATCTTTCAAATGGAGCTACCTCTGGGTAACATGAGTCATCAAGAAATCTTTAAATTATATTCTATACCTACTGTCAAAGAGGCAGGGATATAACTAACAATTAAGGTTTCTTACAATCTCATTTCATGATACTGCTTTATGAGCAAAGTGCTGTCATAATCTATATGCAGTCAACTCTAAGAGACAAAAGAGGCAACCAATGTAAGAAGAGGCCTTCCTGGGGTCAGCGGTGCTGGAAGCACATCATAGTACTTCTATGACACCCTGAAAAAGAAAAGGGGCTCTGCACGAGGGGCTGGTGATCCCGTGCCCTTCGTGAGGAAGGGTAGGCACCTTTTTATCTAAAATGCTCTGCTCTCTGGCCCACAGTTTAGCTCAGCTGGTTGGATCACTCTACTCAAGGAGCCAAAGAAGACATTCCTATCTGGATCGATGCTTGGATCAATGACTCTATTACAAAGAAAAATCTGTTCCACAGACACATCCTTACTCTCAGACAATTGTCTTAAATGCTTCCACATGATTAGGTCCTATAAAATGGATGATACATTATTCGTGCCAGAGTCAAACACTAAAGGGCAGCAGCCGTTCAACTCCAAACAGACATAAAACCATACTACGGACTGGCAAACCACACATACAGCCCACAGCCCTGTTTTGCTTGGCCTGTGTAGTCTAAAAAAAAAAATAAAGAGGCAGTATTAAAAAAAAAAAAAACCTGAAAATTTCCTATTAAAACTCAGATTTCTGGATTCTCTTGGCAGAATCTGAAGCTCTGGCATCACCAGGCCCTTACTCCTCTACAGAAATGACTGTTGTTGAGCAGTGACTGCCCTCCTGAGATGAGGCAGGTGCTCTTCCCCTCCCAGCAGCGAGTGGGTGGTCTCCCGCTCACTGCCGTGTGTGGGACACCTTGGTCCCAGAAGGCTGTTTTTCTCTAAAACTGGGCTATCCCAGGAAAGGTTCTACTAAGTGACATCTGTCACCTAGGAATCCTAAGTAAGGATTCGGGGCCCCATCTATGACATGGCCCTGGGAGAAATCAAGGTTCCTTTCCCTGAGAGGTGGATAAAAGGTCCACATGCAGGCCCTTCTCCCAGTCTTCGTTTTCCTGGAGAGCAGAGAAGGAAGACTATGGCCAGCAGCGTGTCACGAACCTAACGGTTCACAGTGCAGCAAAGGAAAAGTGTGTAGTGAACACATCCCACTGGTAAGTGACAGGGTCTCTCCAAGGACAGAAGCGATGTTCCTGGTAGGTGGTTCCAGTAAATGACTAGGTAGCTGTTTTTCAAAACAACAAAAAAGAAAGCAAGAAAGCAACAGTCAGCCCAAAATGGAGTCACTGACCCCAGAGAACAAACCAAGACTTCCTTGCACTTCCAGCCTCTCACAGGAATGTGACCTTCCACTAGTCAATCTGGAGATTCCTGATCACTGCTATTGAGGTAATAATCTGCACAACAGACCCCCACCCTTTCCCCAAAGAAAGGTGACCTTGCCTGAAACAATCTATTCTTTGTTAGGAAACTTCTTCTCCTACCTGCTTTGGTCTATAAAACCTTCCATTTTGTATCGCTCCTTGGATTGCTGGGTGGGATGCGGCCTGAATCATGAACTGCTGAATAAAGCCAATCAGATCTTCAAATTTACTCAGCTGAATTTTGTTTTAGAACACTGTATGGCAAGGAAGTGAGTGTGTGGCCACAAAAAAACCCAAAACAAAACAAAAAGCCTGAACTGAGATTCCAATGGTTCAACTTCTATAGCGAGAAATACGCTCTGAAGCTGTGAAGGCAGGACTCATGAATCCTGCCAAGAAGGCAAAGAGCTACAGAGCCATGACGTCAGAACTTCCTGTTCTTTCTTCCTCTTATAGCCTCCTCATACAGTGGGCTCTGCTACCAGCAACTTATAAGCCAAGAAGAGGTCTTGTTCGCATCTCTCTATCCCAACATCTGCACGGTGTTTCACACATAGGTGGTACTTAACAAATGGATAATAGTGGTCTACAGAAGTTAAGATTTATCCAGGATCCCTACTGGAATTTGAATTCTGCGCTCTTGAATCTCTGAATCATAATTTCATGATGAGTCAATTTGCTTCCTTTGTACAGATACGCACCCACCTATCATTCCTTAGAAATACAGAGGAAGGTTTTTTTTTTTTTTTTTTTTTAACCTTCAATCATCAGAGAGGATGTATTCTGATGCCTATTTTTCAATCCTTTGTGGGTAATTATGAGAGCGATCAGATACACGGGTTGGTCAAGGACAAGCTCAGTTAATGCCTGCAATCCCAATATAATCATTAACAGAGCCTTCTATCATTCTCTCAGGTGTCAGGTTTGGATGATAAATTAGATCAGCGGTAGACAAACCTTTTCTGTAAAGGCCAAATGGCAAAAAATCTTAGGCTCGCTGAGTCATATAGAGTCTGTTGCTCTGTAAGGGAACTCTACCACTCAGCAAAAACAGCCAGAGAGAACATGCAGATGAATGGGTGTGACAGTGTTCCAATAAAACTTCACAAAAACTGGTAGCTGGCCGGATTTGGCCTGACAGCCATATAGCATCCTAACACTGAAATTATCATGGTAATGCTAGTTGCTAAGAAATCCAGGAATATTTCTTTCACCCTAGGAAAACAGAGCTTACAATGAGAAGATACTTTGAGGGTAAAATGTACAATTTAAGAAAAAAACATGTAGGTGTCATATCATCTTCAAGATGAAATACTACCTAAGAAAAAGTGAGTTCCACAAAAAGGCATTATCTTTGAGCGCATGTGTTTCAGAATTTGTTCAGAAACTAAAAAGTCCATCTGAGAAAAATTTCATTTTAGGGAATCTCTGAAAAAGGAAGCCAGCTGACTGAGGTGGCGCTCTCCAGGGAAGGGTTTCTTTCCACCAGCTGAAGGAGGAACTTCTGCGCTTGCTGCTAAGAGAAAAAGCAAAAAGTGAAAAGATGATCCAGGGCCCCCTGAAGGCAGCCAGATTTCAGATTACCAATGAAGACAAATGGAGAGTAAGGGGAAGACACAAGACCCAATGGCATCAGATGATGGAACTCACAGCTACTTAAAAAAAAAAAAAAAAGGAAGGGAGGGGATTGAAACACCACTTGTGTAAATTTGCTTTAAGAGAATGAGCTCTGGCTGGCTAGGGAAGAGAGGGGGAAGGAGGAATGCCCCCTTCTTCTATTCATTGGTTTCACACATCAGGCCTGAAAGTCCCCTTGGGAGACAAAAGTCAAAGCTTCAAGTGACCAGTCTGGGGAACCAAGGGGACTGTCCTCCCCAAATAAAGCGAAGCAACACAGTCGCCCAGACAACCACCTGCCCAAAACACAAGAGCAGTACAAGAGCACCATCTGCTGTAAGAACTGCCAGTGCGGGCTCCCCTATTTTAGAAATTCATTCACAGCCTTCCAAAAGGACCCGATTCATCCCATTCAGGAGCAAAGCAGCCTAATCTGTAGAACGTTGCAACCCTCTGGGACTGCACCAATCCTGACAAGCAGGCTTACCCAGTCTTTACAGATACTAGAAATACACAAGGTTGCCAAGGAAGTCTGTTTTTTTTTTTTTTTTCCAGATGATCATGATTCAGTGATAGCCCCAGTGTCAGTGTGGTGTTTGACATATTTGTGTAATTAGGTTTCACAACTTTCAGGGTTAGTTATTTGTGTAATTAGCAGACAATGGCTGACTGCACAAGCACTATCCAAAGTGATCATGGACATCACAAACCCCTTCTCCAAGGATGTTGTTGGGTTTTTTTCTTTTCTCGCTAATTTCTCCCTAAACAAGGATGCCTCTCTGTAAGTGTGTCTCCGGAAGGAGGAAGGGGTTTTGTGCAACGAGCCAGGACTGCATCCTGCACAAGGCTACAGGTGTCCACTGTGTGTCCTGGCACTGCTGAAGTTAGCCACATCTGGCATTCCTGCTCTGTCTTGGGGTGTCTTTGTGACTGTATTTCTCACAGACTCTTGGAGAGGCTAGCCCTTTCTTCCCTACTCAATGAGGTCTGTGTATGTGTGTGTTCATGCTATCAGTGTCTGCCTTTAACACTTTAAGCAATTCGGAGTGTGCCTCTTTCAGTTTGAAAACAAAAATATTTAATTCTGTATTTCTTAATTTCCATTAAGCTTTTTCTTCCATTAAAATTATATATATACACACATACACACACAAATCAAATATCTTCTTAGCACTCCAGTAAATATCCCTCCTATTACCAAGAAACCCAAACAACTCTCTGACCAGGGGAAGATAAAAAACAAACAAAAAAACAAACAAAAACCCTTCTGTTTTCCAGTTAACTTCAAGGAATGCCCATTCCGAAACATAAGAAAACAGGGCCTACATACAGAAAGGACAGAGACAAGAGTTGCATTTCCCAGGGGGCTCACTCAGCAGCCCACTGGTCTCTGTGACTCCCATCTCCCCTCAAAGGGGCAGCCCACTAGCCCCGCCACGTCCCATGCCTCACGGCCTAGCTGGCCCTGGAGCACCAGTCATCTGGCAATGCCACCACACAGGGCTATAGCCACCACTGTCCATCCTCCTTTCCCTGAGAGTCACCCCACCCTGATTTCAGAAACAAGAGGCAGCATTACATACTGGGCAACCAATGTAGGCAGAGTTATGGACACCGGGGGGCCTTTTGTAAGTGCCATCACTGTCTGTGGTAATGAGTCTATCCTTCTCAGCATCTCCCGGGCAGCCGTTGACCTGGTGTTTCCGGCGTGGTTTGGGAGACCGTTTTATCCTGGAGCTTCCAGGGGAAAAAGAAAAGGTTATCTTCATAGGAAACAAATCTTCCAGTAACTTATTAACTAAACACTCAAGTATTTTCTGAGCATCTGGGATATGCTGGCCACTGTAGTAAAGACCTCACAGGATATAAACAATGTGTAAGACACAGACTCTGCTATAAGGACGCCATAGTCTACCTGAGCATGTTAAACTCATGGAACAATAGAGAATCATATAAGGTAACCTAGAACCATGATTTTCCCAGGCATTCAGAAAAGGGGAAGGTCAATGCAAGCTAATGATGTGGCTGGCTATACGGTGAATGAACTGGGTCTTGCAGAATAAGCAGGATCTGCAGAGGGGAGGGATGTGGGGAGAGGGTGTGAGGTGCAGACTCCACCATCCTGAGAAACAGGAAGCAGATGAATGTTTGGAGAGACGTTGTCTACACTGCTGGATGGCGAAAAAGTAGCCAGAATGCAGAGCCCGGGTCCCCCCACCACCTGTTATAGGAACACGGGTTCCACATGGCAGGTAACCAAAGCCATTATAGGTGATGAACAGAGCAAGACATAAATGAGAACAATGATTAGAGAAAATGCATGTGCCTTGGGGGGTAGGGGTCTAGAAGACCAAGAGCCCAAGACTCTGAGGGCAGCTATGGGACAAGAAATGGACCTGGACCCAGAACCGACCTGGGTGCATGTGCAGAGGAGGAAAAGGTACTGGGAGAGGGGGAGGAGAGGACCACCTGAGAAAGGAAGGGTGACTGCCATTTCCAACTAGCTGACTTCAAGGAGGCAGAGAAAATCCAGGGACAGGGTTCTGAGGCCATTGGACAGGCAGGCCAGTGAAGGAGCAAAGCCACAGGGGCTCCACAGGCAAACCTCGGGGAGCCCTGCTGGGGATGCCCACCTCTTCCTAGGCTCTATGAACACCGAGGGCACACTGGCCGTGGGGTCCAGGATCTTGTCGATCTGCATCTGAGCCCTGCGGTACACGCGGTGCCGTTCGCGCGTGTCACCCGAGGACAGGTCGTCCACCACTGGGAACTCGTAGTGCCCGCGGCGCTTGGCACGGAGACGGATCTTGTTCCGATGGTGCTCAATCTCGGACTTGTGCCGCAGCGCCGTCTGGATCTGTGTGGCCAGGGAAGAGAGGGGAGACACATGGCATGTTCCCGAAGGCTTCTGGCCCCCACGCAGAGATAGCATCTTGGGAAGGCCTTCCTGCAGGCGTTCTTTTCCCCCAGACCGCCATCCCAGGCTTCTGAGGCCCCAAAGGGTGTGACACTGCCAGCCACACCCACACATGGAGGCCCCATCACCCCGGGGAGTTGGGTCCCATAGCCTATGTTTGCATCAAATACCATATTTTAAAAAGAGAGTTAAAGAAAAACATGAAGATGTATGCTATCACAGGCCTGGTGAGCACATTTTCTTCTTTCTGTCTGCCAGATGGAGAATCCACTTTGGGGTGCTTACACATGGCAGGCACAGAGGCACAGGCCACACGGGACTGATGGAGACAGGTCTAGGTTAGGACTGGGGCTGTGCAGGGCTGGGGCTCCCCAGCACTGGTGAACAGAGAGCACGCACACCATCCTAAACCCATAGCACACATTCCTAGAAAGAAGACAAAGAGGTATGGAGAGGAAAAACCCTAAGAACTCTTGACAGGACTTCTGTAAGATGATTGACTTCAAGGATCACCTACAAAGTGGGCAGGGGGTTGCAACTGTACCAGTTTCTTACTACTTCACCCCAGCAGAACTCACAACACTAGCAGGTATTTCTTAGAGGCAGGAAATGGACAGGCATGAAGCTGCCTTATGCACAATCCTAAATGGCCTTCACTCCACTCATCATCCAGCCCAGGTCAAATCTCTCAAGTTCAAGTTAATGGTGACCCGGCTTGGCCTTCTGGTTTCCAAAATCTTAGGGGAGAAGCAGATCTAACTCACTCTTCCTGGATTCACTGGAATAGGATTTTACTACATATTACTAGATCCTTAGGGCCAGAGTGGATCTATCAGAGATCACAAAGTCTACAGTGGTCCTAAGACCACCCCAGGTTCAAAGGTTCATCAGGAAAACTCAAAGGACTCAGGAATTAGTCTCATCTATTACAGCCCAAGAATGCAAATCAAAAGCAACAGGAAATGGCACATGGGATAAAGTCTAGAGGAAAGCAGGTGCCAGCTTCTAGAAGACCTTTCCCAGGAGAGTCACACAGAACGTGCCTAATTCTTCCAGCAATGAATTGTGACAACGCATGTGACATGTTGTCCACCAGGGGAGCCCATGAGAGATGCAATGCCCAGGATTCATACCGGGGCTAGTCCAACAGGCCCCCTCTGCCTAGCCTGTACCAAAATTCCAGAGTCCCAGAAGGAAAAGAGATGTTCAGATAAGTCATACTGTTTGCATCAACAGTCTAGGAACAATGGGAATGTTTCAGAAACGTAAGTTCCCAAACCCCAGCCAAGGGCCACAACAGGACTTCTGAAGGATAGCAGTCTTGGGTTTGCTATGTTAACTCCCTCTCCGTACATCTGCCAATATGCCTGACAGCATCCGTGAATAGTATCGAGCTAAACAAAAGCTACATTTAATATTTAAAATGAAGATACTTGTCAGCAGCTCCTACCTTTAGTAACTTCCCGACACCAAAATTTCCATCTGTTTTTAAGCACTTATCAGAGCAGAATGTGACTTTTTAAAAAAATAAATGTACTTTTTAAAAAGAACAAATACCTCTTTGTTAATTTTGTTGGTTTCTGCCACCCGGTCGGCCAATACAGGGTGCTGAACTGGAGGTGCGGGGATGGGCTGCATGGCGATCAGCTGAATCTTATTGGGAACCCGTCGGCTGGCCTCCGAGGACCGGGAGAGCCTGTCCACATGCTCGAAGATGGAGGCTGACGAGTGCTGCTCATTGCCTGAACTGGGCAGCGGTGGCCCTGAAGCAGAAGGAAAAGCAAAAGCCTAAATAAATAAAGCCATCCTAAAGAAATAGCAAATAATTGGTCATTATACTACTTGGTGCCCAAACTTGCCCTGTTTTGGTTAAAGGGGGTTAAAAGTCTTCAGGAAGGGAAAGGAAAGGGCAGGAGCCACTCAGTGTGTCACTACCCGACTTATACAACTTTGAGAGAAACACTGACAGCAGATCTGAATTTCTGTGCTCATTTAGAGAGAGAGACATTTAGTCACCAATACAATTATACTGGTGAAAAGGGAGAAGATGGAGGGGAGTGTGGACATGCAGGCACGTGCTGCTTTGCCCTGAACACATCTGGCCTTTCGGTTCTGATGCAGAAAGAAAGCTAAGCTGAAGAGCCACGAGAAGAAAAAGCTGCTGCCTGCAGGGCATTCGTTCCTACTTTAAAAAAAGAAGAGTAGTAAGTACCCTGAAAAATTATCAAAGGGGGAAACTGTAAGGCATGTATATTTTACTGTACCTTGAACTTTTTAGAAAAGTAATCAGAACTTCAAAAAAGAAAAGAGACTGGATCTTGGTATAATGGGTGATGGTCTTCAATTTCTTGCATTTTTTCATGTGAGGATTTTCTCTAATGAGTATGACTTTTATAGTAGAAATAATCCCAGTAAGCTTTAGTTTTAAAAAGGCAAAATTAGGGGGTTCCTGGGTAGCTCAGTTGGTTGGACATCTGCCTTCAGCTTGGGTCATGATCCTGGGGTCCCAGGATCAAGCCTCATGTCGGACTCCCTGCTCAGTGGGTACATAGCCCTCTTGTCTCTGTTGCTCCCCTTGCTTATGTGCTCGCTCACCGTTGCGCTCTCAAAAAATAAATAAAATCTCTGAAGGAAAAAGAAAGGCAAAGAGAAAGATGCAGAAGGGCTGAAGAGATGGAGATAGCACAACAGAGCTACTTGGAAGTGCTCCCTCTGATAAGCCACAGTCGCCCTCTGAATGCTCTGGACACTGCTTTAAAATAAATGACCAAGAGGCCATGAGAAGGAGAGCATGTGGAATCTGTTTTTAAACAAAAGCGTGAAGTTGGAAAGCTTGAGCACAAGTGAAAATATAGAGGTTTCTCCTTGATGTAAAACAAGATAGAACTGAGCCAAACAGTAAGAAATAGTAGCGGCTATTTTCGTAAGGAATGCATGCACATTAGTGTATATAAGTCTTTGCACTTCCTCTCCACGTGAATTATATTCATTCATTACCCTATAAGATTAGAAATGCTTTACAGAACTGTGAATGAAGGACGCTTCTCTTAGCAAGGAGGCATAGTTGTCTGGATTCAGGCTATTTGGGGCTTTCTTTCCTTGCCCTGGGCCCAGAGGGAGCGTATTTGTGCAACACAAGCACAGCCAGGCACCACCATTCATCCAGTGGCAGCTACTCAAATTGCAGGCACAATGCCTAAAAGGAGGTAATTAGCTTCACCAGATAGCCAAGCCTGGCTAACCCAAACTTATAACATAGCAACAAATGTCACAAAGGGGGGCCCATTAAGCTACTGACACTTAAAGGTGAGACAATTTTTTCCTCCAGGAGGGTGCATCTGATTTCCTCCAGGGCACACAGATGACAAAGAAAGAACATGCACCCCCCCCCCCACAGTGCTATCTGCCTGCCTGGGTACCTAGGAGCTGCAGGCCTGTGACCAGCTCCAGTCTGTGCCCCATTCCGGCCCCCAACTTGGTCATGGCTCGTCACTCTGTAATTCACCAAGTGCAATCACAGAAGCAGGAGAAGCCCAGGAAATCCTCAAGCTTCTTTTTTTTTTTTTTAAAGATTTATTTATTTACTCATGAGAGACACACTCTGAGAGAGAGAGAGAGGCAAAGACACAGGCAGAGGGAGAAGCAGGCTCCTAACAGGGAGCCCGATGCGGGATTCGATCCCGAATCTCGGGATCATGACATGAGCTGAAGGCAGGCGCCCAACGGCTGCGCCACCCAGGCATCCCAATCCTCAAGCTTCTACACTACTCAGAACCCAACCATTCTAATATGCATAATTCTAAAATATATAGAGAGATACATATCTATATATCTCTATGTATAGATATCTGGGTTATTTTTATTGTTTGCTACATATTGCATAATTTTTAAAAATGACCTGGACAATAATAACCACTGGAAAGTACAACTGTATACAGAGAGATTAATCTGTGTGCATCTTCCTTGAGGTCAATTAGAGACTCTGGATTAAAACCCATTTCTATTCCAATATTACAAAACAAAACAAAAAAATTGTCATGATAGAGTATAGGATAACATCAACAATGCAGAATGGCAGAGGGTAGGAAAATATGCACTGTTAAAATGCTGAAGCAACAGAATACTCTTAAATACTAATTTCATTATCTATAGGTGAATATAGTCCAAGTGCATTATCACTAAGGCCCGTGGCCCCCGTTTATATCCTGTGAGGAAAGGATCCCATTTCTCTTTCTGTCTTCATCCTGTTCTGGCACCTCCCCCAACATAGGCTCTGAGCAAACATTTGCTGAAGGCAGGACTAAATGACCTGGACTAAGTTTATAAAATGTTACCTCAAAAAGCCTCTGGGAATCTGCCATAATGCAAAGAATTCTAATTTATAACCTCAATCATTTCATGAGTGCTCCACGATTATACCTGAAAAACTTAGATGTTACAGGTAGTCAAAACAGCTGCCCTGCAATCTCACTAAAATTATCAATTTGCTTTGAAAACTCCTTTTTTTTAAAGATTTTTTACTTATTTTTTCAAGAGTGAGCAAGTGAGAGAGAGCATGAGTGGGGAAGGAGCAGAGGGAGAAGTAGACTCCTTGCTCAGCAGGGAGCCCAAAGTGGGCCTCGATACCAGGACTCCGGGATCATGACCTGAGCCGAAGGCAGATGCTTAACCAACTAAGCCACCCAGGTGCTCCTGGGTGTTTTTATTTTTAAGATTTATTGATTTATTTGAGAGAGAGAGCAAATGGAAAGAGGCAGAGGAAAAGAATCTTCAAGCAGATTCCCTACTAAGCATGGAGCCTGCTGCGATGCTCAATCCCAGGACTCTGAGATCACCACCTGAGCCAAAATCAAGAGTTGGATGCTTAGCCGACTAAGCCACCCAGGCACCCCCACTTTGCAAACTCTTTAGCACTTGCCAAAGTAGATGTCAGCTTAGTTCCAACTGAGACCTCTATAATTCCATTCTAGAATTCGGAATTTGTGGAACTCTCATTAATGATGTTCCAACTACTCAAAAATCACACCCTTGCACACACGTTTCGTAGCCCTTACCTACTGGGTGGATTCCTGATGACAAAGGAGGGGGAATGGAAATTACGCAAGGACACCACAGACATAACAGCCTGAGTGCCACTGCCTTTACTTGAGGAAGGTACATCATTGCCCTATCTCATCTCGCTCTTCACAACTTTACATGGGAGCCCATGGTAGCAATATGACTTATTCTCAAACCTCGATAACCAAACACAGTGACAATCTGAGTTGATAACCTCATAATGGTCCGTGGATAGTCATATATGCGACATGGTTTAGCCACCTTCCAAGAATAAAGCACAACCTCTAATAGACCAAAACCAAAACAATACTCTTTCATCAGCTATCACTGCAATGTGGGTCCTGAATATGTCAGATGACTTGTGACAGCCACAGAGCACCTCGCCAAGGAGTTGGAAGGGACCCAGTGGCTATGCCACCTGCTGTGTGAGAGAGAACACTGGTCCCAAGGCAACATGGAGGATGGGACCAAATGGTTCTCAAGCAACTATGACTTGCCACAAAAGAAGGATTTTTACATGATTTACAAAATAATTCAAAAGCTATGATTAAAAACGCAATCTTTTCTATAGGGTATTCAACTAAGTTCTATGTAAGCTAAAATGCCTTCATGGCAGCCTTCAAGAAACAAATAAAATCTTCTAAGTGAATTGATATGTAGAGTGAGAAAATCCTCTTCCTAAAACATGAAAATAACATAGAGATTATGGTGTCTCTCCAAATCATAACAGCAGCAGTTAAGCTTCTAGAACTCACAAGAACATCTGGTACACTTGCCTCCTTCCACAGGCAACTCAGCCCCACACCTGACATGCTTTACTACCTGGATTCTGAATATATGTTGATAGTGATTTTTTATTTTTGTTAGCCATGCAGAATATACTGTCAGGGGTTAAATGTAGGAACTAAAAGAAAGGTTTTCTCAGATAAGCAATAAACAGAAACTGAGAAACTCCAGAGCTGATCCTTCCCCGCCCCCCCCCCAAATATTTCCTTGCTGGGATCAAAATTAGATTTTAGTCCAGTCTATCTGAAACAGAGCACCTGTTACCATGGTGCTAAATAACTTCTAAGATTCTGTGAAACTGGATCCAAAGAAAAAACTCTTCCCGTATTCTAAAGGGATTTTCTTTAACATCAAAAAAGAGCTGGAAGGAATTTCAAAAATGAGCTAGTTTTAGTCCCACAGAAGCCCCAAAGGCTAAGGGACTTGCAAGGTCACAAGCATGAAAGTGATAGATCAGGCCCTCTGGCTTCCAGCTAGATTCCGTTCGTTTATAGAATATGGTTCATTCTGTACTGCATTTCAAACAAATAAATTTGTGATGACAAATGTTTAAGTATAAAAATTACTATTAAAAATAATATCCTGAGGCATCCCACTTTTCTTTGCATTACCGAAACACTCCTGAAATATAAATAAAACGCCAGCAAATACAAGAGCTGTAGTTGCACATTCATTTAACAGAACCTATTAAACTAAATCCAAACTACCTTGCCATCACACCAAAAAATGCCTCTAAGTCTAGTTAGACCTATGGGCTTAGTTTTATCAGAGAGCATGAGCTTGTGCTCGCTTCAGCAACACATATAGAGAGCATGAGCTCCACAGTAAAGCCCTTTGGGATGGACATGAAGTTTGTTTCAGACCTGGCCTTGAAAGCCACTGACTACAGATACAAGTATGCTACACGATTCAATCACACTGAAGTACCTGCGGGAACAGTGATGTAGGAAAAGGACCAAACACAATGCATTTGCTCACCCATGATAAACGACTTTCTGGCAGTGACAGCTGAGAAAAAATCTAGAATTGGATCCTCAGAAGGTCACTAAGTTCCAGAGGCAGTTCTTGAGACTCTGGTTTTACTTTGATTCCTCCTTCTTCAGGGAGGAAAACCATTAGGACTCTAAACTAGAATGGAATGTCGCTATTAACCTCAAAACATATTTGAGTGAATCCCTAACTTCTAGCATAATCTCCTGCCTCAACACAGACACCAGTACAACATATTAGATGGTGACAGTCGATGCTGAGAAATTCACCATATGGATGATGAATATTCCACTGCAGATTTTTTTTTAATGTTTAACATTTGAAGTAGCGTAAAGTCTTATCCTATTGGAATCTCATAATTAACTATGTTTAACGTGGAGAATGAGAAGAGTCACAGACCGCTCTGTGGGGCTCTGTGGGATGGGCCATCGTTCACCGCTCCTGGCGTCTTGTCTCCTGCATCCCTCTCACTGGACTCCTCACTTACAGTAGAGTCAGCATCCGAGGGAGAAACTCTGCAGTCACAAAACAAATGCAAACATTAGGAAAAAGAAAGAAAGGACCTGGTCTCAGTGGGGGCAGGGTAGGGGGGAGAGGTCACATTAATTTCAATGTAGAAGTCAGGCTTCCAGGTTAAACAGACAGAAATGAGAAAGTCTACAAAATCATCTTCAAGGAACACATTGACAGCACATGGTCCCCTCTAGGAGACAGTATAACATGGCTTATATGGCTTAATAGGCTGCATTCCAACAAATGCTAGGAAGCTAAGTGCCCTTCTGGAGGACGGTCCCTGGAGGATGGTTACCAGGGCCCTGGATTCTAGTCTGGGTCTGGCAGAGGCTATATGAGAAGATGTGGAGTTCAGGCCTGGTTCCAGGTCAACTGGGACTGCAGAATTCCTAGGAACCCAGGGTGGTCCTACAGTCACCCCACAGAATCCCACAGCTCTGGGAGACACCTATACTTACAACACAAAAGCAACAATCACCCCTGAGCTTTGAGTCTATATATAAAAAACCAGGTGACACAGCACCAGGCCGCACTAGGCTAATGAGAATCATTAACAGGTTAGCACCCCTTCTCTTTGTGCTCCTGAGGGATGCTACAGTCCTACATTAACAATGCAGACTATTGAAATGTTATGTCTAAATGTTGAGGATGAGATAACCAAGGGAGAGGAAAAAAAAAAAAAACCTTGGCAAAATTATACTAACATATTCAAGTCTTTAATGATTTGATTTATTCTTAGCCTGCAAGATGATTAAGCAAATAACATCTCTCTACATAATTCATTTTCTTTTGTAAAGATCATGGTGTAACATCCATTCAATTGTTAAAACTAGGCCAGAACCCCCGGGGTAGGTTTTCTGGTAAGTCAGAAATTGTGACAGCGTTTCAAATGTTGGTATGATCACACATTTCTTCTCTCTTCGCAGGGAATCAAGATTTGGAGTTCAAAGCTCAAAGGAAGGCTGATAATTTGAGGCTTCCATACCCTCGTGTGATTGTGCTGAGATCTAAAGTCAGCTGCATAAAGCCTGATTCTGAACTTTGACCAAGCTACAGCCCTTCTCCCAGGATCAGAGGGTGATGGGGACTTCCAGGTGGGTTTTAATACACAGTCCTTCGTGTACTTTTCTTTGACAGGAGGAATGGAAATACATTGGGAATGGGGAGCTGGGCAGGGAGGAGCGGGGCTGAGTCCAAGGAAACATGCTAACGAGGGTGACAACACAGACAGCCAGAGGAAAAGCAAGCAAAGAAAAAAAGGATGTGATGAAAGTCACCTGCAGACAAAGCAACGAAGTCATAGCCAGACGCTAGCATAACAGCAAGGGCAAAGCCACTATACTGGCTGAGCGTGTATTATGTGTCATGCACTCTCTATACATTACTTCTGCTATCATCTCCAGAGGGCCCAGAATGATCACCCCAGAATACACACTCGAGCTAGGCAATACCTAATAATTGTCAGGGGGAACCACCAAAGCATCTGGCCTCCTCTGGTAGTCTACTGGAGCGGACTCGGAGCCCTTGGGTTTGTTGACTTTGGACAAGCAGTTGCCAGTCTCTTGGGCTGTAGACCCAGGGAATACTCACCATCAGTTCTTCTGATACTGGAAACTGACAAACTGAAAAGGGAAACATGCTCTGTGATAGAGAACAATACTGAAAGACCGATAAGAACCTTCCTCTGTGACGGACATTCTTAGAAGGGATCTTTGCCTTCGGGCTCGGCACATCTCCATTTTCAGAAGGCGTGGTGTGGTCCTTCACAGGTCCCGGCAGTGGTGCTGGCTCATGAATAATCAATATGTCGTCTTTATTGTGCTGACCCAGATGCTGCTTAGCAAAATCAAAGCCCTTCACACTAGGGATCTGCAACTAAAACACACACACATACAAGTGAGACAGTCCATCTGAAATCTGAGGACTGTAAAAAGGGATCATGAGAGCTGGCAAGATCACTGAGTGCCAACTTCTGACCCGAGATCGTGTTTGCTATCTCACCATTCTAATTCAACAAGCATCTCTAAAATGTCAACTGTGTGCACAGCACCTTTTATACCTAGAGTTTGCAGAAAAGACAGATACTTCTGAAAGATTAAAGAAGAGTACAGGATCAAATGGCTAGACCATAATATAAAAGACATCACAAGACGATACCTGACTCACCATCACAGTAGCATGATCACGACTATGCAGTTCCAGAGGGATCGGCACGAGCGAGACACTCTTTACAGAGAAATGAAGACTTGAGCCAGGACTCACAAGGCAGACAGAACTGGGAAATGAAAAGGGGCAGCTACACAGAGAATGTTCTAGATCATGTCAGGCACCAGGAAACACTTGAGGGCTGGGAAGAGATCACATCAGGTGCCCTAGAAGGGTCAGAATGTGGGGAGGGAGAGAAGGCTGGCTAACAACAAATGTCAGTTTCTGGAGCAGGAAACCACCAAGTATTTCTGAAGAGGCAGATTTCTAAAATCCAAGAAAACAGGACACAAAGAGATGTAAAAGGGCCAACAATACCCATGCAAGCAATAATGAAAGCCTGAGCCCCAAATCCTAGCAATGAAAATGGGAAGGAATGAATAGTTCTAGAGACTAGGCTGAAGGATCTGGAAGCCAAAAATAGACACAAGAGGCAAAGGAGGGAAAGCAGCCAGTGATGACTTGAATGACTTATACAGGCAGGCATCCTGAACAGTGGAAGGGACATTCATCACGAAAGAATGGTAACCTGAGGAGATAAAAAGACAGGTTTCAATTTAGACATGCTGAGTTTGAGATGGCAGGAAAAGCTCCAAAGGAGAGTAGCCCCGTGTTGCTGGACACGGAGGACAATGGCGTGGGGGAAATTCCAGGCTGGAGACAGGACTTTGAGAGAATCTATATAGAAGATGACAGGTAGGGGACCTGAGATTTTTTTTTTTTCTCCTGACATTTTTCAAGATGAAAACAGAGTCTGTGGATAAAATGTTGGGGAACATCTAATAGTTTGGGGCTCAAAGGAGGAAAAGCAAAAAATAGGTGACTTCAAAGAAAAGAATTTGCCAAGTTCAATGTAATAGAAGGCAAGGGGATAGAAAATTTCCAGGAAGGAGGGACCAATGGAAGTAACAGGGATGCAAAGAGGAAGCAGAAAGGGGTCTTTGAAAAAGTCCACCTCTCACACTGGTGGACACAGAAGTCCTACCTGAGCACCTGGCAGCAACACCAAACCCTCAACCAAGACCCCCTGAACCTGTCACCACAGAGTCCAGACCTCAGCTTCCAGGTCCATGTAACACAGAAATATACAGAACTATGGGCAATAAAGGTGAGGCACCCTTTGTGGTGTGACACTAAAAAAGTGTTGGGGTGGGTGGGGGGATATCATGTGTCATTAATTTGAGCTTGAAGAGTATAGGAAACTAAACCGCATTTCAATAATTGTCCCAAGGGACAATTTGGTAGGAAGGCCAAATACACAACCAAAGAAAGCCCCTAGGCCATATTCCACCCCTAAAGAAAGTCCATCAGTCAAAGACAAAGGCCAAACCAATGTAAGGAGTTATTTTAGACAATGTGCTATGCAGAAACAAAAGGTTTTGTCATATATATGTTAATTTTATGCCAAATGAGTGACAACACCAATAACCTACATTTGTGATCTCGAAGGTCTTTTTAGCACTGCAAGTCTAAAAGTCAGTGAAAAGGAAAGTAGTTGGCAGTAATGACTTATGCCAGCAGAGGGGGACAAAACTTACTATAAATGTAGTTTAGAAAGGCGTTGCTTGGAAACAAAAGGCAAAGCCCTGGTGTGACTGTATTTTCTAAATTAATGATGTTATGTGACAAGAGCAGGCTACCCCACCTCAGGGGGCCTTTGTGATTTGCACACAGTCCTTGGCTCAGGAACACTGTTTCACATATACAACCCAAACCTGCCCCTCTCAGGTTCCCCACTCCCCTCCAACCACTCAGGATAAGCTTATCTCATCCACAAGACTGTGATCTTCAGTGGGACTCCCCGAATCCCTGGGGGTATATGTTTTCCTAGGGGTATGCAGCTATTTTAAGACCATCACAGTCCAGATGGACAAGCTCTGTATGTGCTCTTCACTACCAGTGATTTTCCTGAGTGTGTGTGCCTGTGGTCTGGGCATTGCGCGGATTCCCCTTTCCTGCCTCCCGTCATAAGGGTCCTTCTCCTACTTTACAGAAGAGAGGGGCACCTCTCACCCCAGCTGTACTTCATGGTAGCTCCATAAACAAGCTGCCTCTAAATGAAAGAATCACAGACATAATCAATAGTCACTGAGTCAACATCATTAACACCATTTAATAAATCTTGGTAAAATCTTTTTTAGTGTATATCTCAGCAAGAAACTAAAATGCCTCCAATGACCAAGGATACAATCACTTTTGCAAGGTAGGTGGTCTGCTTTACCCAAATTGAAAGAGGAGCCACAGACTGCCTCCTCCAAGTAGAGATCTCCAAGTGATTAAGGGAAAAATACAAACAACACCACTTCTGTGGTGCCTTCCATGTACCCCAAGTCTAGGAGTTAATACTACTGGTCTACCCTGACAAACTCTCAGAGTTCATGCAAGAAACAAGCATCTGGATATGTTAAAATGCTTCATTATTGTTGCTGTTGGTTGATGAAATATCAAACAGTTAATATAAATAGCTAAGCGTTCTCAGACATCAAATAAAACCCATAAAGTTAGATACAAAACTTCATAATTTAGCAACAGGGTGTGACACATGGTCGACCATCTGTAAATATTTGATGACTAAATCAATTTTAAAAAGTCAGTTGAAGCTCCAAACTTATTGGATCTTTTGGGGAGCCAAGACAATGGCTATATGTCATCAATAAAATATATGTCCATCAAAGCCCTGTTGGCTTACTGTTGATTCCCACTAACATTTTCGAATATATCCATTAGATCCTTGCACTTCTCACCGGCAGTGTGAGTCACCACCTTTTACAAGAGAATTTTGGCAACTACTCTGTGCTTCTGCACAAAACAAAAGCTATCTTAGAACACACAGAAGGAAGAAATTAGAGGAAACCTTGCCCACTTATGGAATTGGCTCCTTTTGTTTCATCCTTACTTTCCAGAATGCTTTTTCTTTCCATTTCTTAAAAAAAAAAAAAAAAAAAAAAAAAAAAATCTAGAGTTAAGTCTGGATGTATTGTATCTCTGGCTTCCACATGCAGAACAAGCTTCAATCAGTAATTTATAAAAGAAGAGCCACGATTAATTAGTGCCTTCAATATTTCCATTAGGACTCGTTATTTCTGAGGAAAGACGGCTCTTTTGTTCCTTCTCTCTTTAATATGTCACAGAGGGGACAGGCCTCATTGTCCGTGCCCCGCTGGAATACATCACCGACAAGTCAGAGTGGGCTGGTAAAGCAGGTCAGCCAAAGAACAGGAGAGATGCCTGATGAATTTTAAAACATGTGAGCCATAAATATAATAAAACCTGGGTGGAATAAGATAAGGGTGAATCTCTAGCACTCCAGTTAGCCTGAACTCCTGAGAAGGAGCAGTTAAGGTGACAATAGAAATCACAGAGCAAACCCCAAACGTGCCCAAAATGAAAATTTGCAATCTCGAAGACAGCAGCATTGTCTACCCATTTCTTATTTGGTGGATGTGATCTGTGAAAAGCCCCCACAGCTGCCGTGCTGCTTCCATTCAGAAGGTGAGGAGAAGGCAAAGGTACTGCCGTGTGTGTCTACTGCAGCCCCAGGGCCTCTGGTCACCCTGTGGTCTAGGAGTTAGAGGAGCAGAACTCCCAAGATTCTCCCGCCTGCAGGCCACAGCAAGTCACAGCCAAGTGACCACGGGGGTCCTGAACTCTCCACATAGTAGACACCACAGGGTCCTTGAGGAGAATCAAAGAGCAACCACAGGAGATGAGATGAACTGGGCTGAGATGGGAGAAAAGACCACGGAGCCTCTCCCTTCGATCAGCTGTCCACACAGCCTTCCAAAGTGGCCGTTTGAGGGCAGCCCGGGTGGCTCAGCGGTTTAGCGCTGCCTTCAGCCCAGATCCTGATCCTGGAGACCCAGGATCGAGTCCCATGTCGGGCTCCCTGCATGGAGCCCTCTGCCTGTGTCTCTGCCTCTCTCTCTGTCTCTCATGAATAAATAAATAAAATATTTAAAAAACAAAAACCAAACTGGTTGTTTGAGACCTAAATACATTCAAGCTGCTCTCCCTGCTGAAAATCCTTCTGTGGCTACTCCCCACTACCAACAGCACCACTGCTGACCCCTGATATGTCCTACAACCCCTCCCAACCTGGCTCTCGCCTACTGTCAACTCAGCTTTTGCTGCGCCCTTCCAGACAACCTTTCCTCCATCATTCCTGATATATAGGCCATTCCCTTGACCTGTGCCCACTGTAATTACCTGGCTTCATCTCCTCAACCTCTGAGCTTCACCCCAGCATCGCCTCTTTCCAGAAGACAGAGGCAGTCCACCACCTAGAAGGCTGCCCCTCCTCTCTGCTTCCAAGACAACCTACATAGACTTATGCTGCTATGTGTCAGCATCTGGGTCACTTGTCCTTCTCCCCTACTGAAGTGCTCAAAGCAGGGATTGCATGTTATCTGGGCTTGTAACCCAGCCTGGCCCTGCTTGACTCAGAGCAATTGCTTGGTGATACAGTGACTAAGGCAGCTCTTTCGGCTGCCCACTGGTCAGGAACCACAATCCCACACCAACAACAGAGAGTGGACTGTCCCCATCGGAAGGAACAAGTTTTCATGGGACCAGCAGCATCTAGCCAATGCCATTCATATCTTTAAACAGAACCTCAACAGGGCAAGTTGGGTCCAAGCCACAGTTTTTCTGATACCAGTCAGCAGTGATTATTTTGGGCCACAAGCTAAAGGGACTACAGATAAAAGAAAGATAAGGGTTAGAATTGTTTTTTTAATTACTGGAAATAAAAAAGGGCCCTGTCTCAAAATGTGACAGAATGGCTTCTACCTCTTGTATGTCAAACCTAATCCACTCCCAGACAATCTGAAGAGATTTCCTGCTCATTACAAGGGGTCAGGAGGTGTGGATTTTTGGTCGGCACAATTATTGTTTGTAGCTCTGCGATTTGCTCAAGGATCGGGGAAGAGTAGTAGTGTGGCAGCATCAGGGGGCAGGGTAAGCAGGACACACAGAGAAAAAACAGAGAGCCACACAAGGACAAAGAACTCTTGCAGTCCCAGGGGAAACTAATTATCTTTTCAGCTTGTCCCAAGGGATGGGCTAGAGGCCCTTCCCTACTGCCAGGTATGTCTTAGAAGACACACTTGTAAAGTAGATATGTGTTTCTAAACTAAACAGAGATCATCCTTTTCCTGTTATAAACATCTGGGTTCCCATGCAGGCAAAACAAAGACCACACTTCTGAAATGTCACAGAGTCTGCTCCCCCAGTCCTGACCCGCCTCAGAAGATGCCGACTCCCTCAGGGACTCCTCCACACAGAAGACCTTCCCACAAACATGTTGTAAAGATGTATGTACAAATCCTACAGCACATGCAAAGCAAGAGCAACCCCAAGGGCTGGAGGTTCTATTTGAAACTCTGATTTACAACAACATCTGAGGCACAAAGATATTTCAGAAGTAAAAGTGGGAAAAGGAGAAAACTTGGGGAATATCCTGTTTTGAACTCAAGGGATGCTACCCTCTGACAGCTGAATGAAGTAACAGATGATGGATGGGCTTCACATGGATGGTTTATGTTAGGGAACCTGGAATATGAAAGACCTGAATATATAACCATCTACATTGGATCAATCTCGCTGTAACAATACTCTTTCACCAGAACAAAAACATTTCCAAACTTATTGTTGATTTTACTACAATGAAATTCACAGTATAAATGATTTAGTACCTTAAGCACTTTTTCCAGGCGTTTCCATGGCATTATCTACTCTAACAACAAAACAGTCATTGCACCACGTAAATAATAAATGAAGATAGGTCATAAATATAATTTTAATGTGTAACATGCTTCCATTACACTTGATAACCATAAGCTTGCAATTTAGTCACGATTTTGCATTTTTAGTTAATTCATAAGAAAAAGAATACTCTTCATCTACTTTTCCAAAAGTGCAATAAATTAAGAATACCTATTTTTTCATCTAGTAGGTGTATGTTTGTAATGGGCAGAATTTTTTAGACCCAGGCAAAATAAATTTAAAAGATTAACAGGTAGTCCTTTGTTTCTTATTCATCTGTTTCTTGCTTGCTTTTTCTTATCAAATTTTTAGAGTCAAATGAGTCCTCTGTGTGAGACCCATGGAGGGTACACATTCACACAGTTGACGAACTACCACTTTCCATTCCTTTGTTAACGGCTAATCTGCATGATGTGCTAGATGTGTGGCAATACTGAGTTTTTCACTGGTACTTGGCATGTTTCTGCTCACATTAGATCAACCAAAACTAAGCACTTACCAAGAATCAATGCCTTTGCTCTGAAACTGGTATGTGACAATTAAATATTGCAGAAATCATTGAAACATAAAAGGGAGAATTGCTATTATAAAACCTAAATCGAATGTTTTGGTATGACATGAAAAAGATGTTTTTAAAAAACTGCTGTCAAATTAGGTGTAGGTGAGTTAAGTCTAAAAGATTACAGAGTTGGGGTGGGTACTGGAAAAAATCTGAAGAATTTTATACTCAGGTTGCTTGCTCTTCTCTAAAGAAACCCAAACTGGAAACTGCAGCTGATGCATTATAGGTGTTGTTTCTTTTTTAATTCTTTTAACTTTAGTTTTTATTTTCGAGAAGGAGAGAGAGTTACAAGCAGGCTCGAGGCTCAGTACAGAGCCCAATGTGGAAACTTGGTCTCATGACCCTGAGATCATGATCTGAGCCTAAATCAAGTCGGACGTTTAACCACCTGAGCCACCTAGGCACTCCTAGGTGTGTTGTTTCTTACAAGAAAACCATACAGAATCCTCTCAAGTAAACCAACTGTTCAAAAAATAAAATATATTTTTTAAAAAGACTCAGTACATTGAAAGATTGGTGAATACAGACCTACTCATATATTTAAGTTAAAATGTTTAAGGCATATAGTATCATTTCTCAATGATTAAGTGGTCTTTTTTTTTTTTTTTTTTGATTAAGTGGTCTTGATCAAAGTGGATAGTGGGTTTCCAACATGGTGGATGGAAAATAAAGGAGCCGTCCAGTGGAGCTGTGTATGAAAGAAATAGACACACAAATCTGATAAAACCTCCCTTGGCTCCTGTTCTTGGAAAACATCCAGGGTTAAAATAGATCAGAAATCATACAAAAATGGATGTGATCTTTGAACTAATCATCTTATAAATAAAATCACAGTAGAACTCAGAACTCATAACATTGCTAAGCCCTGATACAACTTCATCTTCTTGGCATATAATTAATACTACAGAAGAATCGTGGTTCCAGTAAGCAAACATGAGGCAAAGAGATACCACCATTAAAGCCGGAACCCTATGAGCTCTGTCTCCCCTCTTTCAGTATCAAGAGCCTGAACTCCACCTAACTCCAGCCCGTAAGTCTGCCTGTGTGCCGGCTGGGGGGTTAAGCTCTTACCTTCTGACGCTGCTGGATGTTGGCCACCGTGTCAGGTTGGAAGTCTAACTTGTCTGTGCGGCAGAGTTTCCAGTAGAGGATGATGACAATCACCATTACCACCAGCCCTGGAATGACCACCCCGACAATGACCCAGAGGTTGTTGCTCTGGGACGCTGGGGATGGCCTCTTCACTCTGTCCAAGGCTGCAGACAAAGAAGACAGGCCGTTCACTAATTCCTCTGCACTCATTTACTGGACAGCCCTTCTGTGCCTTCTTCGATGAGAAGCCTGGGACATCCCTGTCATTTCAGGTCAAGACAACTGGTCAGAGGCTGTGATCTCCTGGCGACCAGAAACGTGATGCAGTAAAACAAACACAACATAGAATGCTACATCCTCAATGCATTACAGACCATGGTGACATATGTGACATGTCTAAATGAACATGGCTCATCTGATGGCAGAGCTAGGTTAATCCCAGGTCTCCTGACTTCTATCAGCACCAACCTAATCTCAATGCAGGAACGCTTCCATACTAAAAATCAGAAATCCCAGTAAGTAGTCTGCAAGCACTGTCTTAGTTTCCTTACCTGTGCCTCTCTCTCTAAACCCCCTGAAATAAGACTTAAGGTACCAGGTGTCAGTTTTAAAATTATATTATATCCAACTTCCTTACTCTGAATCTGCTGCTCCCCACCCTCCTGCCCACCCCAAACACTGCCACCGACTCCCATCTTGCATGGCCTTGGATGAATATGTCTCAGCCACTCTGTCTTCACTTCTGTCACTAGGTCTTTTCCCTAATCTCACCTCCCAGCCCTGGGCCCTCATCCTCTTCATTCTGCACTCATCTTCTCAAAGGACTCAGCTCCTCTTAAAGTTCAGGTTCCAATGACCAGATACCCCAACCCAAAACATCCCCTCCCCTCTGCCCAACCTTCTCATCTGTCATGATCACTTCATAAAAACTGCTCCATAACAAGGCTAGTGGCCTCCTCGTATAAGTTCTTTTGTTCTGGGTGCCTTTGCCTTGCAAACGGTACCTTACTATTTTAAAATATATTTTATTACAGAAATGTGTCATCTTGATATGCTGTACTACTTTGCTCATTAACATGGTCATGACTCTAAGTCTTGTCTTTTCAAATGCAGTTCAGTCTTCAGAAGCAGGGGGCTAATTTTTAGGCTCTTTTTATATTCCATAGTGGTTCACACACACTATGGGATCTAAATGTTTCTGCTCAAAGATGTAAGAACAAAAAGATCCTTGGTGCTGGTTTAAGTGAGGGCTCAGGCCTCTGGGAGACTGAAAAGGGAGGGAACAAGCACTCTAAGGCATAAGCACTATGAAGGAAGCACAAATGACACTGCAGGGACCATGCAGGAAATGGAAAAGGGGACAAGGTGTTAATCTTATTTTTAAATCTGGCCTGAACAGAGTCTATATATTAGTTCATTTTGCATGAAAACAACTGACAGTTCATGAGGAGTGACAGAGTCAAAGTGAGGAGCTGGGGAGACAACTGTATGCTGTTCTTAGTTCTAACCTAGTAACACCCTGGGAGAGGCACAAATGGACCAAACAGGGCCCTGCTACCAGGATTCACAGCTGCATGAAGGCTGAGCCTGATGTTGGCCGAGGAGGCTCCCAACCCCAGGATCCTTACCCGGTGGTTTTTAGCAGGAAACTAAGGAAAGAGAGGTACAAAGAAGAGAGGGGGGAAAAAAAGAAGAGGGAAGTAGCTTGAAAGATGCCTATACCCTATTGCAATTCATCTTCTTTCAGAGGGGAAGTGCTTAGCTGGACTGGGAGGCACCTCTCCTACAACCAGAAATGTCCCAGGTGAAGACATAAGTACGCACTGCTTTGAAACAACATACTGAGATGCAATCATATCTCAAATACTAGCAAACCATCAACAGATTATTTGCTTAAGCTCTCCCCCACCATCATCTGTGAATGAGACAAAGTGTGCCCATGGGCCCTCACCCTGCTTAGTTTCCAGGGACAAGTACAGATTTCACAAAGAATCTTCCATTACCAAGAATAACCGTGAAGCTGTCATTTTTTAAAGGTGCCTTTACATCTTATGTGTTCTCTCTATAAAGAATTTTTCAATATTCTCTGATGCTCAATTCCCTTCTAACCACTTACTTATCCCTTTAGTGTTGGGAGCAAGTATCACCAAGCTCCTACAGGATTGCTCTCTGGCTCATAAGCAAAAACATCCCCATTAAAATAGCAGTCTGATTCACAAAGGAACATTTAGAGAAATACACTCTTCTGTGACTCTCCTTTTTCTTAATTTCCAATACCCAAAATCTGGGAGTTGAAAAATAAGGCACTGAGAGCAACCACTGCCGGGGGCAGGAGCCAACTATCTTCCAACAATAATACAGAAATATCCAAATACCTCTTTCTAAACTATGAAGTACTGTGAGGATGGGGAGGGAGAGAAACAGCACTGAAAAGGGTGAGATCAAGGACTTCTTTGTGTTAAAAAACTCAGCAGGAAACCAATAAATGCAGAGGGCACCTCCCAGCTTCCTGTGTGACTAACTGTCCCCACCAACATTCAAAATATGACAGACACGATTTTGGAATAAATACAGAGAAAACAAGTTCTTTTACGTAAGACAAGATTTTTAAAAAGAGGAATGGTACAGAAGTAGGGGAAAAAATATGACAGTTAACTTTAGCTACTAGAACTCACTCTAACCGACACAAAATGCTGGGTAGGAAAACAGCTACAAGCATAAAGCAGCTGAAATGGAAGAAAGACTTTGGCAAGTGAATTTTAACAACCGACATTTTATACAAGTGCCACGTAAGAAATATTAAGGGTCGAACATGTAAATCTACTCTGTGCACCTAAGCATGCTTTAAATTCAGATTTCATTGTCCGAAAAAACAAAACAAAACAAAACTGGCTTTTGATCCCAGCATAGCACAGACACTACTTAGGGTCTATGCCTCACACACTTACGTTGGGCAACAGCTCCTTGAATTCGATAACCCAAGATAATGGCTGCTCTCTGGATATCTATCTTGTTAATCAGATCTGAAGACTTGACTGCACTGAGTCTTTCTCCATCTTGATCCTCCACAAAGTAGATGAGCTGCACAGGATTGTCATCTCCCTCCAGCCTTGACACGTTTACCATCTGAAAGATAACAGAAACCATTAGCATTTTCAAAGCTCCTATTTCCAGATGCCCTGTCTCAAGGTACTCAATCTTGACTGTGTTATTCAGGATTCATTCCAACCCTCATAATGAACTTGTTACACCATCCAGAACACCATTCTGGATCCCAGAATCCCCACGATGCTCTCTTGGTGGGAAGAGGGACAATTAAAATGAAAGTTACAAAAAAAAAATGAAAGTTACTCTATACGGGATAACAGACGTGCTTCATCTGCTCAGTCTTCCCTAAGACAAATAGGCAAGTAGGATACAGAGAACACAGGGTTGCCAGGTCCAGGCAGTCTAGAATTGCTACCAATTAGCTCCAGCATATCATTGGAGAACACTGTTGTCCTACCAACATGAATCATAAGGGTTAGGTACATCACCGATTCTAAGAAACGATCACTACTTCTATCCAATCTCATCCTGAATCTAATCAGGACTTTCTCTTTTTTTAGGGCAAGGTTTCTCAAACTTGGCACCTCTACCATTTTGGTTCAATGGGGCAGGGGAGAGGGGAGGGCTATCCCAAGTATTGTAGGATATTTAGCAGCAACATCACTGTCTTCCAATCACAAGATGCCAGTACTAACAGCCACCTCCTCCCTCACCAGTTGTGACAACCAAAAATGTCACCAGACATTGTCAAATGTACACATGTGGGGAGTGGGTAGGGGAGGGCACAAAAACCACTGCCACTTGAGAACCACTGCTCTCAGGATGATAAATCTCATAAATGCTTTAATACCTCACTCTCAACAATGGATGGATCACAGAGACAGAGAATCAGTAAGGCAAGCATATATTTGAGCAACACTATATACTAAAGGAACCTGACATTTACAGAACATTCCATCCAATCAACAGAATACACATTCTTTTCAAGCACATGTGGAACACTCTCTAAGATATAGTATATGTTGAGCCACAAAACAGTTTCAACAAATTCAAGAAGATAGAAATTATATCAAGTATCCTTTCTGACCACAATGGTATAAAAGAACAACCAATAATAGGAGAAAAGCTGGAAATTTCACAAAAACATGGAAATCAAACAGCACATTCCTGAAAACATCAATAGATTAAGGAAGAAATCAAAAGGGAAATTTTAAAAAAATATCAAGACAAATGAAAACAGAAATACAACTTATCAAAACTTTTGGGATGTAACAAAAACAGTTATAAGAGGAAATTTTATAGCTATAAATGCATGCATCAAGAAAAAAGAAAAATCTCAAATAAAAAACTTGGGTATCTGGGTGATTCAATCCCTTAAGTGTCTGAATCTTGATTTTGGCTCAGGTCATAATCTCAGGGTTGTGGGACTGAGCCCCACATCAGGCTCCACACTCAGTAGGGAGTCTGCTTAAGATTCCCTCTCTCCCTCTCCCTCTCCTCCTCATTCCTCTAGTAAATGCACATGCTCTTTCTGAAAAAAGTCAATAAATCTTTTTTCTTTAAGATTTTATTTATTTATTCACGAGAGACACACACACACACAGAGAGAGAGAGAGAGAGAGAGAGAGAGAGAGGTAGAGACACAGGCAGAGGGAGAAGCAGACTCCATGCAGGGAGCCCGACGTGGGACTCGATCCCAGGTCTCCAGGATCAGGCCCCGGGATGAAGGCAGCACTAAACCGCTGAGCCACCCGGGCTGCCCCAAAGCCAATAAATCTTAAAAAAACAAAAAAACAAAAACAAAACAAAACAAAACAAAAACACACAAACCTAACTTTACACCTCAAGGAACTAGGAGACAAAAAGAAAAACCTAACCCCAAAGTTAGCAGAAGGGAGAAAATAATAAAGACTAGAGTGGAAATAAGTAAGACAGAGAATAGGAAAAATTAATAAAACTAAGAGTTGGCTTTTTGAAAAGATAAACAAATTTGACAAATCTTGAGCTAGACTAACAAAAAAGAAAGCAGACTCAAATGAAAGTGTTAAGTGAAAGAGGAGACACTACAACATATAACAGAAATACAAAGGATCATAAGAGAATATTCTGAAAAATTACATACCAACAAATTAGATAACCTAGAAGCAATGGATAAATTCCTGGAAATACACAACCCACTGAGACTGAATCATGAAGAACTAGAAAATGTGAACAGATCAATAAGGATTAAGTAGACTGAATCAGTAATCAAAAACTTCCCAACAAAAAAAGCCCAGGACCAGATGGTTTCACTGATGAATTCTACCAAACATTCAAAGAATTAATACTAATCCTTCTCAAAATTTTCCAAAACAATCAAGAGAAGGGAACATTCTCAAACTCATTTTATGAGACCATCATTACCACGATGCCAAAGTCCACGAAGGACACTACAAAAAAAAGAAAACTGCAGGCCAATATCTCAGATGAATTAGATGCAAAAATTCTCAGCAAAATACTAGCAAACCAAATGCAACAGTACATTAAAAAGATCATGCAATATGGGGCACCTGGGTGGCTCAGTTGGTTCAGCATCTGACTCGGTTTCGGCTCAGGTCATAATCTCAGAGTTGTGAGATCAAGCCCCATGTCAGGCTCTGTGCTCAGCGCAGTGTCTGTTGTGGATTCTCTCTCCCCACCTCTGCTCCTTCCCTCACTTGCACTCATGCTTTCTCTCTCTCAAATAAATAAATACAATCTTTAAAAAAAAAAAAAGATCATGCAACATGATCAAGTGGGATTCATCTTTGAGATACAAGGATGGCTTAACATATGCAAATCAGCAAGTATGACATATAGCATTGATAAATGAAAGACAAAAATCATATGATCATCTCAACAGATGTAGGAAAAGTATTTGATAAAATTCAATTTCCACTCATGATATAACCTCTCAACGAACTGAGTGGGGAAGGAAAATATATCAACATAGTAAAGGCCATATATGACAAACCCAGAGCTAACATACTCAGTTGTGAAAGGCTGAAAGTTTTTCCTGTAAGATCAGAAACAAGACAAGAGTGCCCATTCTCATCACTCTTGTTCAGTACAGTACTAGAGTCCTAGCCAGTGCAGTCAGGCAAGATAAAGAAATAAAAGGCATCCAAAGGAAAAAGGAAAAAAACAAAAAAAAAAAAACAAAGGGAGAAAAGAAGAAGTAGAATCTGTCACCATTTGCATATGACATATTACATATAGAAAACCCTAAAGGCTCGACAAAAATACTGTTAAATGAATTCAATAAAGTTACAGGATACAAAATTAATATATTAAAATCTGTTGTGTTTGGTGGTTTTTTGTGTTTGTTTTGTTTTTTTAAGTAGCTTCCATGCCCAGTGCAAAGCCCAACGTGGGGCCTGAAATCAAGACCTGATCTGAGGGATCCCTGGGTGGCTCAGCAGTTTAGCAACTGCCTTCAGCCCAGGGCATGATCCTGGAGTCCCAGGATTGAGTCCTACATTGGGCTCCCTGCATGGGGCCTGCTTCTCCCTCTACCTTTGTCTCTGCCTCTCTCTCTCTCTCTGTGTGTATGTGTGTGTGTGTGTGTATGTCTCTCATGAATAAGTAAATAAAATCTTAAAAAAAAAAAAAAAGACTTGAGCTGAAATCAAGAGTCAGACCAACCAAGTGAGCCACTCAGGTGCTCCCAACATTATCTATATACTAACAATGAAGTATTTGCAAAAAAAAAAAAAAAATTAAACAGTCCCATTCACAATAGCATCAAAAATAATAAAATAGGGACACCTGGCTCAGCGGTTAAGCACCTGCCTTTGGCCCAGGGCGTGATCCTGGGGTCCCAGGATCAAATCCTGCTTCTGGCTCCCTGCATGGAGCCTGCTTCTCTCTCAACCTGTGTCTCTGCCTCTCTCTCTGTGTTTCTCATGAATAAATAAAAATTTTAAATAATAATAATAATAAAAATAATAAATACTTAGGATAAATTTAACCAGGAATTAGAAGATCTGCACACTAAAAACTTTAAGACATTGATGAAAGAAACTGAAGACACAAATAAATGGAAAGATACCCTGTGTTCATGGTCTGGAAGAATTAATATTGCTAAAAGTTCATACTACCTTGGGGTACCTGGGTGGCTCAGTCAGTTAAGCGTTGGCCTTTGGCTCACGTCATGATCCCAGGGCCCTGAGATGGAGCCCCACATTGGCCTTCCTGCTCAGCCATGAATCTATTTCTCCTTCTCCCTCTGCCTCTCCACCTCTTGTGCTCTCTCTCTCGCTCTCTCTCAAATAAATAAATTTTTAAAATCTTTTTTTAAAAAAATGTCCATACTATCCAAAGCCATCTATAGATGTCATCTATAGCTCTCTGTAGCCATTAAAATTCCAATGGCATTTCAGAAATAGGAAAACAATCCTAATATTCATATGGAACCAGAGAAGACCCTGGTGACCTATGAGCCAAGAATACCCAACAGGGAAAAGATAGTCTCTCCAATAAATGGTATTGGAAAAACTGTATATTCACAACCAAAAGAATGAAACTGGGCCCCATCTTATATCACTCACAAAAAATAACTCCAATGGAAAGATTTAAATGTAAGACTTGAAACCATGAAACTCTTAGAAGAAAACTTAAGGGAAAGGCTCCTTGACATTTGTCTTAGCAATGATTTTCTGGATATAACACTCAAAGCACAAGCAACAAAGCAAAAATAAAAACATGGACTATATTAAACTTAAAAGCTTCTGCACAGCAAAAGAAAGATTCAACAAACTGAAAAGGCAACCTATGGAATGGGAGAAAATATGCACAAATCATATATCTGATGAGGAGTTAATATCCAAAATATATAAGGAACTCATAAAACTCAATAGCAAAAAAAAAAAAACAAAAAACAAACAAAAACAAACCCAAACTCTCCAAAAGTGGGCATAAGATCTGAATAGACATTTTTCCAAAAAAGGTATACAAATGGCCAACAGATATATGAAAAGGTCAACCCCACTAATCATCAGAGAAATGTAAATCAAAACAACAGTGAGGTATCACTTCACACCTGTTAGAATGGCTATCATCATAAAGATAAGAGATGGGTGCTGGTAAGAACATGGAGAAAAGGGGACCCTTGTGCATGATTGGTGGGAATGTAAATTGGTACAGGCATCGTGGAAAACAGTATGGACATTCCTTAAAAAATTTTAAATGGAACTACCATGTGATCAAGGAATCCCACTTCTGGGTATATACCCAAAGGAAATAAAATCCACTATATCTTGAGAAGATATCTGCACTCCCCTGTTCACTGCAGCATTATTTATAACTGCTAAGACATGGAAGCCACCTAAGTGTCCACCTATGGACGAATGGATAGAGAAGATGGAATGTGATACACACACATGCACACACACATATGGAATATTATTTGGTCATAAGAAAGAAGGAAATCCTGCCATTGGAACCACAAGGATGGACCTAGGAGGGCATTATGCAAAGCAAAACAAGTCAGACAGAGAAACACAAATATTGTATGATCTCACTTATCTGTGGAATCTAAAAAAGCCAAACTCAAAAATAGAGAGTAGATGGTAGCTGCCTGGGGCAGGGGATGGGAGAAATGGATGATGGTGGTCAAAGGGTATGAAGTAAGATGAATAAGTTCTAGAGATCTAACATACAGACAGCATAGTGACCGTAATTAACAAGACTGTATTATATACCTGAGAGGTGCTGAGAGTGTAGATCTTAAAAATTCTCACCACATCCACAAAAAAGACAACTATGTGAGTAATGGATGTGTTAATTAATCTTGTGGTGGTAATCACTTTGCAATATGTAAAAATATGTGATATTTATTTGATATATGTAAAAATACATATATCAAATCATCACATTGTGTACTTTAAACCTGTATGGGGTCATATGTTAATTATCTCTCAATCAAGCTGCAAAGTTTTGCATAAATTCACAATCTCCTAGGTCAAATAGTACTTTGCTTTGTCCCAAGTTCAGCTCTCTCTGGTGTTATAGGTAGTCCTTTAACATTAGGACTTCAGAATCTGGTATACTTGCTGTATCACAGTTTTAGATATATACACATTTCTATTTTGCTGTTCTTTCTCTAATAATATGCCACAATTTTACTGTCCCTTGTAACTCCAGCAAAATGCAAGACTGATATTCTGGGGAAATACCAAAAATGAGTCCAAACCCTCTATTTTGTACAAGCAATTTGAATTTTTGGTCTCTACATTTGCCACTAGCAAAATGCAATTGCTACTTTTCTAGCCACGTGTACAGAATTGTAATACTGCCCCGTGTTTTGGACATGGCTGCTGGACTCCTCCTTCACCACTGGAAACTTTTGGCAAACCAACAATTTCATGATTTCACTGTGAATGCCTTCTTCCAGATTATTTATAAAGATCCTTATCAACACAGGTCCAAACTCTCATCCCTAGAGAATCTGTTCTTTATACCTCCCATCCTGAGAAGGGCTCATCCATCCCACCCTTTGTTTGCTATTTCTAGGCTAATTTCCTGACCACTTCTATTCCCTAACCACCTATTCCCTCCCCAAACTGAGCTGTAGTCATTAATTTTTTATTAGCCTTTAGAATGGAATACTACTATCAAAGGACTATGTGAATGTTTATTACACTGAAAAGTTATGATATATTTTAGAAATAGTTTCATCTTGCAGAAACCAGGTCCCCATATATTTGGGTATGTAATTAAAGATTCTACAAACTTGTCCAATCAGAAAGGAACAGTCAATAAAATCTAATTCTAGCATCCTTTTTAGATGACTTCTTATCAGATTCATATCTGGAATCCATACAACCATAGTAGGATAAAGTCATCATTTTGGGCAACATTTTCAATTTCATTTTAAAAATTACTTTCTGATTAAAATCACATGTTCATTGTACAAATTATATGCTCATTGGAGAAATTTTGAAAAACACACAGAATGTATAAAAAATAAAATGAAAATCACCTAAAGTTCAATCAAGTAAATTATTATAAACATTTCGGCATATTTCCATTATTTATTTCATAGGTTTCATATTAATATTTGAATGGCAGTGCATGCATTTCTTGGTAATCTCTATTCATTATATCACTCAATATGTCACTCCATTTTTATTTTTAAGAGAAAGGGGTGGGGCAGGGAGGAGAGGGAAAGAGAATCATAAGCAGGCTCCATACCCAGCTTGGAGCCTGACCTCACACCCCTGGGATCATGACTTGAGCTGAAATCAAGAGTCAAACATTTAATTGACTGGGCCACCCAGGTGCCCCTCAATAATTTTTTTTAAATGACAATGGCTACATAACATTCCAACATCTAAAGATTCACTATATTGATTCATTCTTCAACTGCTGGACATTTAGGTTGTTTTAATACTTTCACTTGTACAGATTATATTTTGATGGAAGAATCCTACACCATTGTACATGAATTCTTGTCTACACCTCCACACTGGGTCACACTCTAAGGGGGAAGAGATGTAGGGCACAGTCCATATGCAACCCATCAGATGGCACCACCGGCTGGAATGCCTTGGTTAATTTCCACAAACCTTACATCCCCACCTGAGGGAGCTTGCACAACTAACGGAACACTTCATTATGTAGTTTTATGGTGCTCTATAACTGTTTTATGTGCATAAATTAACCTCCACCCTGACCTTGAAATCTCTGAAGCCAGGCTTGCTAAATAAGGCAAGACTTTCACAAGTCATTTTTTTTTTTTAATTTTTATTTATTTATGATAGTCACAGAGAGAGAAAGAGAGAGAGGCAGAGACACAGGCAGAGGGAGAAGCAGGCTCCATGCACCGGGAGCCCGATGTGGGATTCGATCCCGGGTCTCCAGGATCGCGCCCTGGGCCAAAGGCAGGCGCCAAACCGCTGCGCCACCCAGGGATCCCCTTCACAAGTCATTTTAATTTCTTCTTTGCTTTATGCTTATTTAATGTTACTTGCAATTTTTTATTAGTTTTTAAATTTTTCTTTATACTACAATTGGCAAAGGAACTAGTCTGGAAGGGGGAATCAAGAGCCATTCTTACAGAGAAAACTTGGTAAGGGGATCACAGGACAATGATGCCAGCTCAAGGCAAACCCCCACCACTATCCACTAGGTCAGTTCTGCATCTTTCTCTCTGATACCTCTCAACCACCTACCTCTCTCCCCCTGCACTTCGGGTTTCATCCCCTAGCTTGCATCAGCAACGCCATAGCTCTAAATATCCCATTTTCCAAGCTCTGTAAGTTAGCGGTCAATCAAGAAAAAAAAGTCCAAAATAACATAATTCACATTGAGATGGGAATAAATAACAGCCCAAACCTCCAACTCTCTGTGAGCATGTGCAGTTTTAGTAAGTGACTTTTCCATTCAAATGAATCTTTTGTTCCTAATCTTGCTAGTTTATAAAACAGACTCTGTGAAGGTTGGTAACTAGACTTACTGTGGTAGTCACTTTGGAGTGGATGCAAATATCAAATCATTATCTTGTACACCTGAAACTAATATGATGTTATATATCAATTTTACCTCAATTAAAACAACAAAAAGTGGAGACAACTGGGTAATATGAAACAACCAGGGCAGCCCGAGTGACTCAGTGGTTTAGTGCTGCCTTCAGCCCAAGGCCTGCCTGATCCTGGAGACCCAGGATCGAGTCCCACATTGGTCTCCCTGCATGGAGCCTGCTTCTCCCTCTGCCTGTTTCTCTGCCTCTGTGTCTCTCATGAATAAATTTTTTAAAAATCTTTAAAAAAAAAAAGAAAGAAAGAAAGAAACAACCAGGGTTGGCAGGAGGCAGGGAGGATGAAGTACTAGGATAGAGGGCACAAAATTCTCCTCTCTCCTGTCTCTTAAGGTCTCTTCCAGCTGTTTGATTTATGGCTATGATGCTACTAATAATACTTACCACTGCATGAAACTGGCTATAGTTTTGGTAATTAAAAAACTACTCCAAAAAATAAGGTCATCTTGATGGCATGGCAACCCAGTGACACAATTCTTTTGCTGTGCTCCCCATGGGTCTATTTGTCTAGACACTAGTCAAACTCAAATGATACCACATTCACTTGCTACCTGATATAGCCATCAGTCTAAATTAGAATCTTCTCATGGCATTTCCCATTTGCATGAAAATACAGCATGTTTTGGGATGCCTGGGTGGCTCAGTGGTTGATCCCAGAGTCCAGGGATCGAGTCCCATATCAGGCTCCCTGCAAGGAGCCTGCTTCTCCCTCTGCCTATATATCTGCCCCTCTGTGCCCCTCTGTCTCTCATGAATAAAGAAATTTAAAAATCTTTCAAAGAAAAAGAAAATACAGAGTGTTTTCAGACAACTCTCTGCCCCTCCTTCCCTCCTCCCTTGGCCTTCTTAGGGTACCTGCACCACACTGTTCCCAGCAGCAATGGTGGCCCTTCTCCACATCCGCCTTCGGGTGGACACCTCACTGAGCAGCTGGGCCAGCTTGCGCTCCATCTCAGCCTGAAACACTTCATTCTGGAGCTGCTTCTCAACGACACCCAGGAGAACTACATTTACAAAACGAAACATGCAAGCCCCAAAACAAGTTAGCAGTGGAGGAAAAATGAGTGCATGTAGAGGAGAAATTAACACAGGATTCCTATAAACTGCCAGTCCTTCAGGAGGAGGCATTAAGAGGAGAAAAAGCAAACATGAACAGGGTCATGGGGAGCCAGGAAGTGCCGTTCAGGGGTCTTATTTATAGTTCTAAGCTCTATTACACAGACTGGTGGCAAGAAGTCCCAGGAACTCAGCAGCATAGAAGCTTTGTAGCTAAGAACTCCCACACAGGAGCCAACATTTAATCCACACTTCTGTTCAAACTTTTGGAAATGGTCTGAGTTCATATCTTATCTTGACTCAAGACTCAGACTCATAAACTGACCCAAGATAAGGGTGCCTGTCTTAAAACATCTGCTGTAAACAAGATTATCAAACAGATAATGGGCTTGTCAGCATATCATCGGAAAAAAAACCCCGTGCGTATTAGCCAGAGACCGTTCTGAGACAGGACTACGGACAAGTCTCTGAAGTGCTATGAAAATCATCTGGAAAATGGGGCCCACCATACCATGCAAAAAGGCAAAGCCTTTACACAGGATGTTGTATGTGAAGGAGAACCTGCAGGGTATGCGAAGCCATAAATGATGATCATGACCATGGCACATGCTTCCAGCCCACAGACAGCTACTTACTGTGCTGCTCACACACTGGGCACAGTGAGTGTATAACTCTTACACTTTTATTACCCAGTTAGAAAGCCTTTATCTGCAATGCCATAGCTATAAATATCTGACCCAGGTCCACAAGACTTTTTTAAAAACCTCCTTATTTGCTCCCTGAGCTACCTTATTCATCCTCATAAAACCAAACAAATATGGCTTTTAGGGGAAAAAAAAAAGAGAGAGAGATCCTTGCTTTGGAACTCCATCCTGTTCTGGATCAGAAGACTGTTAATTCTTGTTAGACTTTCCCCTGGACTTGATGTATGAATTTTAAAGAAAGCCAATCCTTTTTGTGCCATAACTCAGTGGGACACATTCCCACAGCTGGATCTGAATTCCCTTCTCATTCATTCTTTGCCAAGAATTTAAGGGACATTATGCCCTGAATTTAGGACTTAGAAACAAGAAAGGCGGCATCATGCTCAATACGCCTGCACAGATGTCTTTATTCTTACAGTTCCCAAAACATTATGTAAGTTAAACATACCTGTTCTCACCCAGGAGGACTTCAACAACTGAGATAAGTTTAGCTGTGGGTACTGGAAGGCTATAAAAAGGAAAAGGAAAGGAGGGAAATCTGTAAAAGCACGTTTGCACCCATCAGGAAGGTAAGTCTAGGGAGTATCCAGTGTCACACTACAATGCCATTCCTATATCTTTTATGGATATAAAACCTATGTAAGAACAAAACGCCAGACTGGTGTGAAGTCATGGACAATATGCAGTTTCTGAGCACAAGTGTCTCCAGGAGAAAGATGGAGAAAAAAAGTAAAAGTCTTGCTTGAGTGACACCGTGGGACAGACACTGCTTCATAGAAAGCCCGCCTGCCTGTTCGCAAGCTCCCCTTGAAATCTCATTGGTCCAGAGCAATGAGTTTTCACACTGTGTTCCCCAGGGCCCTAGGATTCCCAGCAATGACTCAGGGTAAAATGACCCTATGTCCCAGCTTGCATGGGACAGTCCCAGGGTACCCCTGCTGTCCAGCACACTTATTATTTTATCCATACCTGCACAGAACAAAAAGGTGCTGTTTGTAAATAACAATATTTATCCCTGCCTACGTTTGCATCTGATAAGTTATTATTTTTAATTTAATTAACAGCACACTAAAATGCATAAAAGTCATTAGACCATTTGGCTGCTCCACTTTTGAAAAATAATTTGATGGTTTTTGGTCTGACTTCAACCCTGGAATCTACTGGTTTTTGAAGTGAATGTTTCCCCCACCCCCACCCCACTCCATTTGCACCGTGATTCTAATTGCTTCAGCCAGTAAGAGTGGTTTTGTTTGTTTTCATTTATTATTCTTTTGTAGTAAAATTTACTCTTTCTGGTGTACAGTCTTACGGCTTTTGACAAATGCACGAAGTTGTATAACCGTCACCACATTAAAGATATAAAGCAGGCTCATCAGCCCCTAAAAATTGCCTTCTGCTACTCCTCTGCAGTCTAGCTTTCCTTCCAGCCGTCACCCCTGGAAACCACAGGTCTGTCCTCTGTGCCTTTGGTTTTACCTTTCCCAGACTGGTGTAGTCTTTGACAATGCCCTTTATTTTCAAAAGACAGTAAGAAAGCAAGGCTAGTGGGTGAGGAAGGGGCCTGGAGGCCCACCCTGAACTGACTGTGAGAAACTCCAATTTTATCTGATTTACAGCCTGGACTTCAGCCAAATATTTCATGTGGAAAAAAAGAGGTCTAGCGATGAAAACCCTTGTGGCCACTTTCCCAGCGCTTTGCGAGAGAGCAGTACTCACGTTCGGCGATCTGGAGCACAGGGTATCCCAGGTAGAAACTGAACTCCACCACGCTCAAGTTCCTGAGCAGCTGGCTCACTTCTGTACCATTCAAAAACCCCTGTGCACCTCTGACGGCAAAGATGATATTGACTGGGCCCTGCCGAGGAACGGGCCGTGAAGCACCCATGGTGATATTCAAGATCTGAAAGAAGGAAGGAAGTTTATCCACAAGAAAGCAAAACACTATGCAAAAGGCCTATAATTTCCCTCTCACCACTTCTCTCATTGATTTTTTTTTTTTTAAATTCATGATAGTCACACAGAGAGAGAGAGAGAGGCAGAGACACAGGCAGAGGAAGAAGCAGGCTCCATGCAGGGAGACCGACGTGGGACTCGATCCCGGGTCTCCAGGATCGCGCCCTGGGCCAAAGGCAGGCCAAGCTGCTGCGCCACCCAGGGATCCCCTGATTTTTTATTTTAAAGGAGGTAAAGGAGGTAATGGTTTCAAAGGAACGAACTGGCTCCACAACCTGATTCCCGTTTGCAACACTTTAAAATTCTCAGTTTACTGAAAATGTTTTTTACATGAAGGGAAGAACTGAACGTGTGTATTTTAATCGTCCTCCCTGCCCCAACCACCCCAAATCCCACTGAAATAACCATACACTGAACAAATGGGAATATATCCCCAACAGCTCTGACAATGGAAGAAAATCAGGGATTCTGTTAAGTTGCTGGAAAATGGAGAGAGCATAGGATCATAATGATATAGGCCAGCATCAAGGGAATTGGGACCCACATCATACACAGGCCTGGAATGCAGGGGCCCTGGGACGGCCCTGTTCTTTGCAGGAACGGACAGCAGGGGAGCCTGTGAACAGCAATCAGTGCAATTAATCAAAGCTCGTGTCCCAAAGAGCTTAGCTGACTTTCACCTCCTCTTTCCTTTCTTTCTTTTTTCCTCCTCTTTCCTTTCTAACTGCCACAGGCAGGCCAATACAGAGGTGCTGGTAGCAGCCACATCTTTACCTTGACCAGCCCTAAGGAAAAGGAGCTCCCCATCAGCACAGGCACAAAGATTGTGTGGGTTTGGCCCCAACAAGAAGGTGGGTAGAGACTCTTATCGGTCAGAACACACAAAAGACAGGGAAGGAAAGAAAACGAAAGAAAAGGCAGCTGGGTGGCTCAGTGGTTGAGCATCTGCCTTCGGCTCAGGGCATGGACCCGGCATCCTGGGATCAAGTCCTGCATCGGGCTCCCCATAGGGAGCCTGCTTCTCCCTCTGCCTGTGTCTCTGCCTCACTCTCTGTGTCTCTGTGTCTCTCATGAATAAATAAAACCTTTTAAAAAATGAATAAATAAAACCTTAAAAAAGAAAGAAGAAAGAAAGAAAGACAGAAAGAAAAGAAAAGAAAAGAAAAGAAAAAAGAAAAGGCAGGTTTGTTGTGAAAAGAACACTAAAGCACTCCATTTCCAGGAATCCATAACCTGCACTGGTGAGGGAGGTGGGGGTGAGTGAGGGTGGTGGGGGTGAGGGTCCCAGTATCCTCTGCCCAGGACCCAGTGCTCCAGTGAATCCTCCCATCGGAGAGACAGGGCGGGTATAGACACAGACGCCACGGCTGAAGGGGCAAATTGCCAAAATTAACAACTTGCTTCTTCACGCCTAACGGCACCTAACCAACGGTCTCCAAATATTTACAAAAACTGAGAGCATGAACGCCAAAGACCAAGATCAACAAAGAACAATGGCTGCAGAGAAAACCAAGACAGCGTGGGCACCAGAAGGCAACTTTTAAGAAATTCTCATTAACGTCCTCAGAGACTTTCCAGGTGGTATCACATTATCATTCGAGATAATCCTGCATCTTTGCAGGAGAAGCCACCATGAAAAAAAAAAGTCAAGAACAAGGGAAAAATGACAGCTGAAAGCAAATTCAGCAGAGGGGCTGAAAAACATGATGGATGCAGCTGAAGATGAAATTAATGACAAAGTTTAGAAAATCTGTAAAAATAGGGAATTTTTTTAAAAAGATTTTATTTATTTATTCATGAGAGACACACAGAGAGAGGCAGAGACATAGGCAGAGGGAGAAACAGGCTCCCCCTCCCAGGAGCCTGATGTGAGATTTGATCCCAGAATCCCAGGATCACACCTTAAGTCCAAAGCAGACGCTCAACCACTGAGCCACCCAGGTGCCCCAAAAATAAGAAATTTAAAAAGAGATGGTATTATTAGAAAAAAAATATGAAAGGTGGCTCCAGGTGCACAAAAATCTATTATCAATTCTAGAAAGAGAGAACAAAGAATATGGAGGATAAAATATCAAAGAAATATAAAAACGTCAGTAGTTTCCATACAATACACACAAAGTCTGCTCACTGAGTGGCTATATTCTCTGTTTTTGAGTGAAGCACTGCATTTCATGCTATTCCATAACATGAAATAGCAGTATATTCAGGCATCCCCCCCACTGGATATTTAGGCTGATACCATTCCTTCATAGAACATTCTTGAGGGGCATGCAGGTGGCTCAGTCAGTTAAGCATCCAACTGGTGGTTTCAGCTTAGATGGTGATCTCAGGGTCATGGGATCAAGACCTGCACTGAGCTGCATGCTCAGCAGGGAATCTGCTTAAGATTCTTTATATCACTGTCTGCCCCTCCCCCTGCTTGTGTGCTCTCCCTGTCTCTCTAAAATAAAATCTTAAAAAAAAAATTCTTGGATTTCTGGCATATGCTCATCTCTGTCCAGCTCACCACATCTGAGCTCCCTGGTCATCCAACTACTCCACCATCTTCAAATATGCCTACCCCATTCACACTATGTGATCTCAGTGCCCTGGAAAGAGATAGACCTTGACTCATGTGAACTAAACTTCTTCTATAAGAGGGAATTAGTAACAGTGACTTGTGGCCTCAACAAAACATGTGAAATTAGTTCATCTTCAAAGGACCAAGCACCCTGTTCTGCATTCAGGGCTATTCTCACCTGCACAGTGAGGTTATGCGTCCCCTGGTGGTGTTTTCTCACTTCAGAAAGAGCTATCATCAGGCCTTTCTCGATGCGCTGGGTAAAGTTGCAGAAGCCAGTATCCACACTCTGAGGCACGAACTGAAGAACTGAGGAGAAGGCAGCAATCACAGGCCCATGAGCCAGGCACTGTTTTAGGATTGAGGAATGAGGACGCGAAAAATACTAACTCAACTAACGCATCCACAGCATGGGATTAAGTAGTGAGAGGTATAATTTAGGGGTCTCATAGCAGGGAAATGTTGAAAGCCAACTCTACACCAAATGAATATACACAACATGGAAGTGACTTGTATCACTTTAAAATGGAAAAGATACAATGTGAGCATCAAAAGATGTGAAATGCAAAGTCTCAGCTACAGGCGAAATGACGCGCTATCTGGTATTCCTTTAAAACACTCTCAACTCCTCAAAAAACACGAGGGATAGATAGAACAAAATTGGGGATAATGTCAATAATTTCTCAAGTAAGGATGTGTGTGTGTGCATGTACCTAATGGTCTTTCATCTCTTAGAGGCATGGGCTGAAATATTTATGGGTGGGATGGCATGATGCCATATCCACATAATGTGGGAGGAGGGCATGCAGGTGCCACAAGACAGACTAGGAGGTGAAAATCATTGAAGCCATACGATGAGTATGTGGGGGCTCATTCAACTACTCTGTGCACTTTTGTATATGCTGGAAATTTTCTGTAATTATACAAGTTTGGGTTTTTTTTTTCAATTTTAAATAAATTTTTAAAAACCCTCCCGCAATTCTTTTAACAACATAAAGAATAAAATGAAATTTTATTTACAAATCAATCAAAACAACTATGCTCAGTTTTCTCACCCGTATGAACTTGGAACCTGGACTCTGGCACAAGGAAGGAAGGTTTCACAGCCAGGATTAATGGAGTTTGGTCACGTACAAGCTTACTATTTATAAGTACATTTATGACTGATATTGCCGTGTAAACGAAAGGCCCAGATGTTACCAGGAACGTGAAGTCAGCGAACAGTTCATAAACCTATGAAAATTTAAAAATACAAAAGACGGTAATTACCTAACTTCAGAGGACTAGAACTCAAAATGAAAGGAAGTTGTACAAAGTAGAAAAGCAACACAGCAAGTAAGGTGAAAAATAAACAGGTAGCTTTAAATGAAGGGGGAGGGCTGCACAGATAATCAAAATCTTATTTTAGCTATGCCTCTTACAGATCTGCCAACCTTCTCAAAAACAGAATAAAACTGTAGGAGCAAAGGCAGCGAGAAAGAAGAACAGCCAATAATATGAACCGAATGGGGAGTTACGGAGAATTCAAAGTTGTTGTATTTAATCCACATAAAAAGGAGCATTTAGTCCACTGAGCAGGGCTGCCCAAAGGAAATTCATGAGCTGCACAGACAATTTTAAAATTTCTAGTAGCCAAATTAAAAAGCATGAAAAGAAACAGGTGAAATTAATTTCACTTAACCCAATACATCTGAAATATTTCAACGTTTGGTCAATGTAAAAAATTATTAGCAAGATAGTTTACATTCTTTTTTTCACTCAGTCTTTGAAATCCTGTGTAAATTTTGCACTTACAGCACATCTCAATTCAGACAAACCCTGTTTCACTTGCTCAGTAGCTATAAGGGGCTCGTGGCTCTGTTCTGGATGGTGCAGGTCTAGAGCACGGCTTTCTGTCCTCATCAAGGGAGAGGAGGTATGAGCAGAGACAGGGTCCACGGTAAAACGTATGGAAATTTCTCTCTAGCTCACTGAGTATACAGAAATATGCATATGTGCTCACTTTAAAATCACGCCATAATCCCCAACTCCGGTCTCAGTCTTTTTGTTACAAATCTGCCAACACATCCCTCCAGTGGACTAAACCCGGCCTCATGTGGGATCAGGGCTTCCCTGACAAAGTGATGTTTAAGTGGCCAGCCAAGAATGAGCACATGTTCATTGAGAGGAGGAGGAAGGAGAGGAAAGAGAGCATTCTAGAACCATGATATGCCTTCAACCCAAGCTCCCACGCCACAGGGACCCACCTTGAGCTCTACCGCACGGTTGAAGTGAATCCTCAACACCTCTTTGATGGATGTAATTATGTACTCCTGCACAGCTCTTCTGGCCAGAACTACAAACCAAAGCCAACCATCAAATGCAATTTAGTTTCATTATGAAGAATATGGGCATCCCATTTCTGGTCCCCAAAGCAGAGAGCCTGTGCTATGCCACACTGTGACAGCAGCTCCCCAAATCACTTTCAAAATAAGGCCCAGACTATGAAAAGGCAGAGGAACAACAGCAACAACAGAGGAACAACAACCTGCTGTTGTTGACATTACTAGGTTTTCTCTTGGCTATGCCTCTACCAGTAAAACACAAAGTTTTAAAACTCTCAGCCGTAATATTTTAAAAGGCCTCAAGATGTTGCTCAACAAAACTAGAAGACATCTTCCCCTCTAGAATGTGGTCTCCTACCCCAACTTTTCAATGTAGTAAGTGAAGGGTATGCACCACTAATAATGGGGCAGAAAAGATTTTCACAATCCTCATGTATTAAAATTTTATGTAGGAAATAAAATCTTTCTTATAACAAAGTCCAGTTATATTTAACTCTCCTTCCACATCTAAGAAGTTCTATTTTAAAATCTATAAGAGAACCTCTTCCCCAGTGTTTAGTAAACATGTCCTGCTCCTCTTTCTTTTCCCTATTATTTTTTCTTTCCTCTTCCATTAACTTCTCATTGTGCAGAATCTAAATACATTTGAAATTACTATCCAGTTTTCCTCTTCCTCTTCTTAATTTTTAAAACTGGAGACAGAATCACTCTGTATCTTTCAATCTTTTAGAAAACAAACGTTTAAGTTACAGTCAATTGTTTTCGCTACTGATTAGTGACTTTGATAGTCACTAAATGTGGGGAAGGGCTTCTTCATTTCACATTAGAACAAACCCAGACTGCCCAGCTGAGTCACACCAATGGCCAACTTGGCCTGGCCTACATGGGCTCCAGGAGGACTAGACTACAACATGAGTTTTAAAGGGAAAGACAAAGGGCGGCCCGGGTGGCTCAGTGGTTTAGCGCCTCCTTCAGCCCAGGGCATGATCCTGGAGACCCTGGAGTCCCACGTCAGGCTCTCTGCCTGGAGCCTGCTTCTCCCTCTCTGTGTGTGTCTCTGCCTGTCTCTCTGTGTGTGTGTGTGTGTGTGTGTGTGTCTCATGAATAAATAAATAAAATCCTTTAAAAAAATGAAAGTAAAGGGAAAGACAAAAATGAGTGAGAAGGAAAAGAAGAAAAAAGGAGGAAGGGAGGGAGGGAGGACAGAGGGACATAGGAATAGAGGGAGGGAGAGGAAAAGACGGAAGGGAAGAGAGGAAGGAAGGGAAAAATTAGGGAAGAAAAATCTCAAAAGCTAAACTTGGGGAATGTAAAGACAGAGTGGAAATTCAGAGACAGAAAAACTCAAAAGAGGAAAGAAGGAAGCCCACGTTGTCCTAAGTAGCCCTATCTAAAGAAAGAACCATCCAAGTATTATTCTGAATCGTCTGCATAGCCCACCATGAAAACCTCCACCTTCTCTATTTAATCTGAGTAAGACCTAAACTATAATGTCAGGATATGAGCACAGGAGTCTTTGGGGAAAAAGGATCATCAGCAACAAATATCTCAGTTTCTTCAAATATCTAGTTTGGGCCAAGAGAGGCAAAAGAGCCCCACTGAAGAAGCCAGGGTCAGGCAGGTCCTGGCTGGGAAGCCCAGCCTCACCCCTGAGAGGATACACACAGTGAAGGGCTCTCCCAAGAGTCCCCATGGATCAACAGAGGGCTCTTACTTTTATGACAGAGCTCCATAAAAAAAAAAAAACCCTTTCAGGGTACAAGTAATCACCCCAACCCCCCCACTCTATCTCTCTCTCTATCTCTCACTCTCTCTCATAAGTAATTACTAAAAAGAAACCATGGCCAAACTAAACAAAGATTCTTATGAATGAAGTGATCCTTTCTATGCTCAAAGATACCACTGAGCCCAAAAGACAGCATTCCTCTCCACTTAAAAATACAATATAACAGTAGGGATACCTATGTAAAACTCCACATGTTTACTAAAACCGTTGCTGTATACATTTTCAGTGGGTAAATTTTACCCCAAAAGCTATTAAAAATGGATCCCTAAACGAAGGACACCAAATTCCTTAATGCATATCCTATATGACAGTTAATCCATGCTATACATATCTGATATTCTTAGAGGTACTTCTAAAATGGTTTCTAATTATGTGTAGAAAAACTTGAAAAGACACATTATGCTTTTCAGTATCATAAATGTGGGCAGCCCAGGTGGCTCAGTGGTTTAGCACCGCCTTCAGCCGAGGGCGTGATCCTGGAGACCCGGGATGGAGTCCCACATCGGGCTCCCTACATGGAGCCTGCTTCTCCCTCTGCCGGTGTCATGGGACCTGCTTCTCCCTTTGCCTGTGTCTCTGCCTCTGTGTGTCTCAAGAATAAATAAATAAAATCTTAAAAAAAAATAAGTATCATAAATGTCATGGAATCCAAGAAACAAAGGAGCTTTCAGTAGTTCTTTTAATAAGCTTCTTGTAGGGATCCCTGGGTGGCGCAGCGGTTTGGCCCCTGCCTTTGGCCCAGGGCACGATCCTGGAGACCCGGGATCGAATCCCACGTTGGGCTCCAGGTGCATGGAGCCTGCTTCTCCCTGTGCCTGTGTCTCTGCCCCCCCCCATCATAAATAAATACATACATACATAAATACATAAATCTTTAAAAAAATCATTTGTCAAATGAATTAATAAATGGTTCATTATTTGGGGGAGGGAGGGAGTTAGGAGAACAAAGATTCAGCTCTGCCCCACAGCCCCAGAGGGTAGTGGCATCTCCATGATGAGCAGAGGACGTATGGCCCACCTCACAGCCATGACCTCCTCCTTCCTCATCTCACCTTTCTCTGTTCTCCTCTTTCCTTGTCCACTCTACTCCGTTCCTCCTCTGCTTCTCTTACCATCTTCCTTCCCCCTTCTTCTTTTCTATCCTCCATTCCCACCAAAATCAACACACAGAGGCAGGCTGCACATCAGTATGATACTGTATTCAAGAATACAGTAACAGGTCATAGAGGTTAACACGCAGCCTGTCATTCCTGATGAAGAACAAGTTGGGAGAGCCTGACCAAGCAGGCCACAGTCACCGGCCATGTACCGACATGCTGTCAAGTGTGCTCCGATTTGAGTGACGAAAGCAGCTGGGCAGGTACAAGGGAAGCTGCTGCTTGTCAGCCCGTCACTCAGGCTGTGGACTGGGGCAGAGATCAAAGTTTGTGACTGAGACCAGAGAACAGTTGGCAGGCCCTGTTTCTTTCTTGGATTCTCAGGATCCAAGTGACATTTACAGGAACACCGAGTAGTCAAGTGCTCCCTCCTTTCAAGGAAAAAGAATAATATATGGGCATGAAGTTGTAGCAGGTGCCCTTACATGTTTGCCCAACTAACTACCTGCCTGAACTAATCACAGAGGTTTTCGTTTTAACGATGCCGACTACGCATCCACTGGATTAGGATTTCCAAAGACAAAGATCCCAGCAAACGTTTCTAAGGCTCCACTTAAACCTTTTATTTTTGCTTATTGCTACTACTAATATGTAGCACTTTGTGGGTGCTTCCTACGTGCCAGGCACTGGAGTAAGTACTTGACGTGCAGTCACGCATTTGAATCTTTACAATCACCCAACGAAGCAGGCGCCACGATCCTCCTTGTTCGAGAGTTGAGGAAGCTGAGAGGTAGACAGACTGATTACCTGTCCAGAGAGCTCACAGGAGAAAGGCGAAGGAGTGAGGGTCACCACCCAGGGGCTCGCCGGGGCCCAAGGCCATATACGCTTTCCCCCAATGCTGTATATCACGGAAGCATTTCACACAAACACCTTAGAAAGATCACCCCAACCGAGAGGTGGCTTGAAGCAGGACCTTACCAGTTGTGATCAAATAGGCATCGGGAACTGTAATATCACACACATATGGCGGCTTGGTGGGGACCAGGGCTGGAGCATCCACCGTGGCTTCAGAAGTGGACGTGGGCGCAGGATACAGGGACTGGGGCGGTCGTGCCGAACTGCTCTCCTGGGAGTTGTGACTCGAAGCTGTGCCGCTCGGGGTGCTGCCAGCAGCAGGATCGGGGGCAGCAGTGGTGTTGGCTGTGCTCGGTTCAGTGGGGGTGTTCACCGGTGAATCTGTGGGTGTGAACGATGAGCCCACAAACATGGGCTCCGTGGGAAGAGGGGAGGGGATCGCCTCAGGAACAAGGGAGGATGCGGACGACGGGTACACCTCGGTGACCAGTGGCGCGGTGCTAGGAATGGCTTTGGAGAAAGAGGGTAAGACGGACGTGTGACCACCTGTAGCACTGACCTCGTCGCTGGACGGCGTCGGAGTTGGAAAGAGAGGAGACTCCGCTAAAACGGGTGTCGTGGGGAAAGCAGTCAAAGGGGACGGTGAGGGAGTCCCCCGAGTCAGAAGGTCAAGGGCGGGCTCCGCCCTGGAGGGCACCAGGGTGGCGACCCCAGAGTCACGCGCAACGGGTGACAACCCAGAATAGGAGGTAGTTTCAGTGAGGGCTGAGGTAAAATGAGCTTCGGGACCTGCCAGCGAAACTGCTGACGCTTGGGAGAACAGGAGAGAATCGGCAGGGAAGCCTGAGGGCAGTGCCGCCTCGGCCTCCGGGGAGCTGGCGAGGGAAGGGAATGTACTGGGGAGAAGAAGGTCTGCACGGGGCCAGAGCGGGGAAGACTCGGAGTCTGTGGAGTTAGGGACGGCCTGCGCAGCCGCCTCAACCAGGGTAGAGAAGGCCCCAGAAACCGAGGCTGCCACAGGGCTCGGTGTCCCCCAGGGCCGAGAGGCGGGGACTTCTGAAGAGGCGGCCACAAAGCTGCTGAACTCCAGGGGCGGAGTCGAGGAAAAACTGGGCCCCGAATCCAAACCCTGGGCCGCGTCGGGGCCCGGAGAGCCACCGGGTTCCCGCTCAGGGACGAGTGAAGGCTCTACTGAGGGCCCCGGAGCCTCAGACGGGGGAGGACGGGGGCCTCTGAGGGAGGGCGACCGTGTGGCCTGTCCTGCGGCGCCCGGGAGGGAGGAGGCGGGGAGTGCACGGCTGGTGGCCCAGGGAAACGGGGCTGTCACCCCCGACGCTGTGACAGCGGTGTCGGTGTCGGGGACAGAGGGGGAGCCCAAGGGGGCGGGAGTGGGGGACGCTGGCGTGGCGAGGCGGCCACCGGGAGGACACGGCCGTGTGGTCCGTGCGGTCCCGACGCTCCTCAGGCCGCTCCTCAGGCCGCTCCTCAGGCCCTCCTCGGCAGAAGCTGCCGGGACCGGTCCTGAGGCGCCCGCGGCGGGAGAGGGCAGCGGGACGACGGGCCGCGAGGGGAAGAGGGTGTTAAAGTCCGGGGGCTCTTCTCCGAGCTCCAAGAAGCCCGCCGCTCCGCTGCCCGCGGGAGGGGGCCCGCTGGCTCCCGGCGGGCTCACCGTCAGGGGCTCGGCGCCGTCCCCCGACCCCGCGGCCTCGCCGACTGGCAGGCTGGCCGCCGGCCCGGGCCCGGGCGACGCCACAGGGCAGCAGGCGCGCCACGAGTGCGGCCCGAGCGACGCCACCGGGCTCGGGGCCTGGGTGGCCAGGACTCGGGAGAGCAGCAGGGACGGGCCGGGCAGCTCTGACAGCTCTGACGACTCTCGGGAGCTGCCGGCCGGCCGGGGGCCACGGGATACCTCAGCCGGCGGCGGCGAAGGGGCCAAGATGGCGACAGCAGAGGAGAGGGAAGGCGAGCTTGTGCTGCTGCTGCTGCTGCTGCTGCTGCTGCTGCTGCTGCTGCTGCTTCTGGAAGCCGGCGCCGTCGGTGCCACAGCCGCAGCAGGGGCTGCTCCCGGAAGCCCGGCCTCCTGGAGACCGAGACTCAGAGCGGCGGCCGCATCGGGGTATCCGTCCAGGCCTGGGCCCAGGGAGGCCTCCTCCCAGGGCGGAAGAGGCTGCTGCGTGGCGCCGCCGCCCAAGAGCAGAGGCCGTGCAGCCAGCGAGCTAGAAAGAAGGCTCTCTGCCTCCTCTGCTCCCCACACCGCGGTCCCTGGCAAAGTCCCGCTTGCCGAGCGCCCGTAAGGGTCAGGAGGATACAGCACCAAATTCCTACTGGGGGTCGGAAGTAGGCCCTCGGATGCGGGAAGCGCCGACCAGAAAGCACTGAAATGACCGGTGGCATCGTCGGTGGACGTGGCTGGTCGTCGCATCGTGTTTGGCCAGGCCGATGTCACCTGTTTGTCTTGTAAAGAAGAAATGGGGGGAGACGGGGTCAGCAGTGGCGGGCTGCCTGGGAGATCCCCAATCGGAGACACCACGCGGGAAGCGGTCCAGGGCGTTTCTGGCAAAAAGTTATCCATTTCGTCGTCATCTCTGACCACCGCGTGGCTCGTCACCGACACATAATTTGCCACAAAGATGCTGGGATCGGCTATACTCTGGGTCAGGGCTCCTTGGTTAAAAAAGATTGTATCAAAAATAGTAGCGGATGGAGATGATATGGCGTGGAGAGAACTGCTTTGCTGGGACCCTGGGGCAGTTTCTGTTAAGGCCACATGTGCAGTGCTGTGCACGGTGCTTTTCTTCATCATGAGCTCCACGGAGGATAAAGAGAGGTTTTGCGGTTCCAGAAAGAGCTCATCTACAAGGGAAATAAAAGCTGGGTTACCTGCAAGGCAATCAAAAGTCATACAACCAACACTTCGCTTCAGATATAAAAAAGCGGACTCATTGAACAAACATCTACTCACTGTGAATATGCGCAACTCACAGTTAGTTAGTTAAACAGCTAACTGGGAGCCAGTGAATATGCGCAACTCACAGTTAGTTAGTTAAACAGCTAACTGGGAGCCAGAAATTGTCAGAATGACTGTCAGGATAATATCTGCAAATACTCATAACCGTGAGCATCACCTTTATTCAAGCTTCTGCGTAAGCAGACGTTGACATTTTTTTCTCCTACTTTCAAACGACACCACAGAATACCAGGAATGGGGGAGGTTCTTAGAAGGTTGTCTAGTCCATTCTCTGTCTCATTTATCACACAAGAGAGAGAGTTCAGAAAAAAGGAACTACATCAATTACATGATCACCCAGACAGAAGTGGAGCTGGAATGTCAACATAAGCCTGCCTTGATTCCCAAGCCCACATTCCTTCTCTTCCACAAGAGCTGACTCGCAAGAGAAATGTACATGACAAATCTGACAGCATCATTCACTACCCAGGTAAGAGTTCAAAAGATCCTAGTTTCGGACTGCCCACACTGAGGCCCCAGACTGCCTCGAGGCTCAGCTCTCGCTCTTCCCTGCTCCACTCTCATACCTTTCTGACTTCACTCTGGCCAAAGGAGCTACCTGCAGGCTCCAAATCCAAATTTCCTCTGGCTTAGTGATGCTGCACATTTTTTTCCCTCTGCCTGGGATGCCCTTCCCTGGCCCTCCACCTGGATCACCCCTACTGGTCCTGCAGATGCCACATACAAACCACCTTCCTCCTCAGTACTCTAAAGTTGAGTTAGTGCCTCTCCAAGGCTTCGACCTGTCATATCCCTTATCATGTCTCATTGAAATTAACTGTCTGCTCATCACATTATGACCCTCTTGAAGACAAGGACTGTTGATTTGCTTTCCTGGTGCCTAGACCAGCAAATAGACACATAGTGAGGGCTCAAAAATTATCTGTTAAATGAATGAATAAATAAAGGAATGAATGGTGTCTGAGGACCAAATTCTGATATGTGCCAAAAGCATCCTAACACCCTGTCAAAACTTTCATATTTTTTATCCTTGTGACAGCTGTCATTATCAAAGAAGTGGTTGAGATGTCCCCATCTGTAACTCAAATACAATATAGAGAGGCAGGATATGTAATGGCCCAAACCACTAATGAAAACCCAGAGCAAAGGGTACTGTCCACTGCAGCACAGGCTGGGGACCGAGCAACTATCAGGACCCATAATAATACCCTCCTTCTCTTGCTTATCCAAACAGTCTGTAAGAACACGAGTTTGTGAGACAGTATAGAGATCATCTTGAATTCAGTCTTCTAATTTTTTTTAAAGTAAATTATCTCTGTTCTATTCCTGGCAATAGGACAAACTAGAAATCTCGAAGTCTTCCCACATTGCAACACTTAATTATCCTTAATGAATGTTTAAAAACATCTTTTACATGACTAGATGAGCCCCCAAGACAAAAAGGGACATGTGTTGAACACAGGAGCAAAGCAGAAGGTGGATTAGGAAGCACTACAGTCATTGGATAAAGAGACACTAGACCAGATAGCCCAATGATCAGGCCACAGGGGAATAACGGATGAGTGCTATATCTGAACAGGTGAAGAACCCAACAGAAGACCATCTTCAAAAAATGGAGACCTGACATGGGCTGTACTCTCAGGGAAAGAGTTAATCAGGAAGAAAAATATCCACATCTCAGAGAATAGTAAGAAAAAGTGTATGTCTCAACTTTGACTCTGTGCAGATACTTTATAAAAAGCATTCCCAACTTTGGAATCTATGCTATTTGTGTGGTCCTAAAAACTGTATGTTTAGAATCATCATTGAAAGTGGACGAGGAAAAAATAAAAATTAAAAAAATTAAAAATAAAGTGGACCAGGCTCCAATGCCTATCAGAAGTTAAATCATCTCCAGAACACACCAGAAAAACAGGTATCAAGGTAGTCCTGCAGCCAAAGCTCCAATAAATAGGAGTGCAAAATTTAAAATTACAAAACATGTAAGGAAGTAAGGTACTATGAAAAAAGTCCAGAGAAACCCATACAAATAATATTAGACTTGTGAAGACTTTAGATATTGTAATGTGAACTACATTTTTATTTTTTATTTTTTAATAATAAATTTATTTTTTATTGGTGTTCAATTTGCCAAAATTCAGAATAACACCTAGGGCTCATCCCGTCAAGTGCCCACCTCAGTGCCCGCCATGCAGTCACCTCCATCCCCCCGCCCTCCTCCCCTACACCCACCCCTAGTTCGTTTCCCAGAGTTAGGAGTCTTCCATGGTAAACTACATTTTTAAAAGTGTGTTTAGTCCACTGAACAAAGAGGAGACTGAAAACATGAGTAAAAAGCAGAAGACTATATTAAAATAGCCAAAAAGATGTGAAAAAGAATCAAAATAATATTTAGAAATGAAAAAACAAGAGTGCCTGAGTGGCTCTGTTGTATCTGCCTTCATCTCAGGGTCCCAGAATTGAGCCCTGTGTCAGGCTCCCTGCTCAGTGGGGAGCCCGCTTCTCTCTCTCCCTCTGCTCCCCCACTCATGTTTGCTGTCTCTCATGCTCGCTCTCTCTCAAATAAATAAATAAAATCTAAAAAAAAAAAAAACAAAAAAACAAAATGAAAAAATAAAGGGGCACTTAGCTGGCTCAGTCAGAGGAGCATACAACTCTTGATCTCACAGTTGAAGTTTGAATCTCACGCTGGGTGTAGAGATTACTTAAGTAAATTTGCAAACTTTTAAAAAATACATAATAGTTAAAATTTTGAAACTCAATATGCAATACATAAAAATAAATAGCAATTTAGACATAACTAAAGAGAGATTTAGTGAACTGGAAGACAGATCTGAAAATTACACAGAATAGAATACAGAGAAACAAAAAGATGAGAAACATTAAAAAGAGAAGTTAAGAAAAGAGAGAAGTTAAGAAATATGAAAAACTTAGGATGCCTCAATGGCTCAGTCAGTTAAAGCATCTGACCCTTGATCTCAGCTCAAGTCTTGATCTCAGGATGGTGAGTTCAAGCCCCCATCGGGTCTGCACTAGGCACAGAGCCTACCTAAAAAAAAAAAAAAAAAAAAAAGTATGGGGAACCCTGGGTGGCTCAGTGATTGAGCATCTGCCTTTAGCTTAGGTTGTGATCCTGGAGTTCTGGGGTCAAGTCCCACATCCGGCTCCCTGCATGGAGCCTGCTTTTCCCTCTGCCTCTCTCTTTCTGTGTTCCTCATGAATAAAAAAATAAAAGTATGGAAGATAGAATGAAACAGTCAAACATATATTTGATCCAAGTTTTTAAAAGAAATAATAGAGCTGAGTAGAGACAATATTCAAAGAAACAGTGCTAAAAATTGTCCAAAATCAATAAGAGACATGAATCCTTCAATTTAGGAAGATGAAGAAATCCCAAACCAGGTGAATTTTTAAAAAACTCATATCCAGAGGTGCCTGGGTGGCTCAGTTAAGTGTCTGACTCTTGATTTCAGCTCAGGTCATGATCTCAGGGTTACAAGATTGAGCCCCACATCAGGCTCCACGGTGATGTGGAGCCTTCTTGGAATTCTCTCTCTCCCTCTGCCCCACCCCTAAAATATAAATAAATAAATACATACATACATACATACCCTTATCTACGCACATGATGATACCACAGAACACCAAAGATGGAGAGAAACTGTAAATGAGTCAGAGGAAAGAACTGGCAATTACACGATCAGATAACTACCTCACAGAACTAGTAGCCAAGTGACAATGAAATAAAATCTTCAAAGTGCTAAAAAAAAAATATCTGACATCTTGGATTTGAAATATTAACAATACTCACTATTTGTTAAAATAGGGGCATTTTCTGGTAAACAAAAAGTGGTTATACCAACTAAAGGGCTTCAGTAGAGAAGCCTCTCTAAACAAGGATATATTTCAAGGGGAAAGGTAATTATCCCAGAAGGAAGATCTGAGAAGAAGAAAGGACAGAGGATAAATAAATGATAAAGATATGGCTAAATCTAGACAAATACTGGTGATATAAATGAACAATACTACTACTACATAATTTGTGAGGTTAAAAAATATACTACAGAATTAAAATAGCTTACTATGATCACACAGAAGCTGAAAGAGGGCATCCAGAGGTATTCGTGACTCATTAGCAGAAACAGCAATCAAAATTAAGATAAAATTCCGTTAACAGAATTTGTGTGTACACCTAAAATTAATAAGCAATACTTAGTCATGTATTTATTTGGATAAAAGATTTCTATTTTTTTTTTTTTAGATAAAAGATTTCTAACTGGTTCTACTAGCATCTGAAAGTCATAAACTCACGCCATATATAAGCAGCTTACTTAAAAGGGTCACATTCATTTTTATGTAATGTGACTCTGAGAAATGAATAACCAATAAAAGAAGGAAAGCATTTCTTAGAGATTTCAACATTATTAGGCATCGGTTGTCTTCCTTATAACCTCTCTCTAGGATGTCTGGTCTATGCACTTTTACTATTTATCACATTCCAAGCATGGGCAAAAAAGTAATCCAATGCTTCTCACAACCGTGGTAAAGTCATTTGCAGCTGTTCTTTTCCACAGTAAAGGGTAAATAGTTATAAATATATTTATAGTAATAAGATTGATAAAATCAACATTCTGTGCATCTATAGAACATAACAGACTTTAAAGTTTTTCTAAGGAGAAATCATTTTATGTGAGCTTTAAAACTGCCTAGGTGGCTCAGTTGGTGAAGCATCTGCCTTCAGCTCGGGTCACGATGTCAGGGTCCTGGGATCAAGCCCTGAGTTGGGTTTCCTGCTCCATGGGGAGCCTGCTTCTCCCTCTTCCTCTCCCTCTGTGTGCTCGCTCGCTCTCTCAAATAAATAAATAAACAAACAAACCTTTAAAAA